TGTGTAAAATTTAAAAAACGAAACTTTGTAGCACAAAATTCAGCTGTTCAAGCAATCAAAAGAAGCATCAAACAGACATGTGTTTAAAATTCGTCCATCCCTTTATTAATTACCTTAATTAGCTGCCACTTTAATTTAATTCGTCTCGTTTCAACAGTTTATTCCGAACGAACAGCTCTGCAAAAATCTCTGTTTTTCCAACTGTAAGTCAAACCTGATTTTCTTCTGATTAAAATTAAATTTTCCTCCTCTAAGCAATCAATGAGCCATTCATTTTCGCTACGATTACCTTACAATAGCGTTCTGACTAAAATTCCAATACTTGAGCTCCATCTGCCTCTCCAACTTCAAAACGCTCTTTTAAGAAATCTTGCAATGCACGATTTCTCTTCTTTTACAAGCCAATTTTTTAATGTTAGAAAAAAATCCCTTTTCCGTAGCAAAAAACTGCACATTTCATTATAACGTGTAAGTCAAAATTTCTATGAAAAATCCTGCCTTCCCTCTTTCCCTGCCCTCCCAAAAAGAAAAAAAAAAAAAAAATGCACGAAATTTAATAGTATTTGGAACTTGACGCGAAACAGATTCAAGTGGTTTTTTTGTAATGCATTTCTCTCCAAATTTCTCTAAATCTTTTAAAACAGTTTCATGCATGCAATTTCTTATGTTGAGAAGGACATATCGTTTTAAGACGAAATTTATGGAAACGAAAGTGGAATGAAAAGTTCCTTTTCAAAAAAAAATCTAAAAAATCATAAACTTGCAAATGTTGGGAGAATTTGCGTACATATTTCTTCCGTTTTTCTGACTGTTTCGCCATCTCTTACAGTTTGATTTTCAAATGCAAATTTCCTAATTTACTCATTGTCCAAAAAGATATGACCTTGCGACTTGCAACATCTCTCTTCCGACGAATTTTCGTAAGAAGCGTATTTTTTTTTTGAAATTAGCTAAAATTTAATTAATTCAAAAATGCGTCTCGTATTTTTTGTCTATCCTCGAAATAGTTTTCTCTCTCACGATGACTCAAATCTTCAGTCAACTAAGTAGCAGTATGACTTCTCTAAAGCTGTATTATCACTTCAGCAAACATTTTAAATATCTACGTAAAACTTCTCATTTTTCTTAATAATGGGAAAAGTTTAGCTCTGAGATATGCTGTACAAGAATGTATAATCTTCTGAATCGATTTGCATCCATCTGTTATTGTTTGTCTATGAAATAGTTTCCTATCTCACACTCTAACTCGATGACTCAGATCTTTTTGTCTTCAACCAAACTCACTTTTTATTTTTATCTGTTTTGTAATTTTAGCATATTTGTTAATAGTTAAACATTTATTCCAATATATCGTAAGACATTGCCTACCACTTAATGATTTAATGCTTTGTGAAGATCAGCGAATAATAGTTATCAACGTTAATTGTAATTGCCAGCATTTTAGTTGAAACTGACTGGATCTACTTTCTGACTTCACTCGCTCACTTTCGGGAATTTTATTTTAATTATTTTTTGGTACTCAACATTTGATTTAAATACATGATTGAATATGAAGATGATTACACTTTAAATTGGAACCACTGATTTCATGGATAAAAACACTTCAATAGTTTCTACCATATTCATTTTTAGACATTAAAATACATAGAAAATTGACAATGAATCGAAAACATCGAGGAATCGGATTCCAGCTACACTGGATAACAATTACATCTCTTTGGTTTGTTCACATCAGATATCTCAATCTTCTTAAAATGATTGCCACTACAATTTTTACATGCTCCTCCGATTTTTTTATCTCAGAATATCATTTCAGCACCTAAGAAACATGAAATACTCGAAGAAGCATGAGGAATTGGCATTTCTTTTTGCAAAACACTAAGAAGACGGTGTTCTATGCTGGACGAAAAAATGAACTATGTGCGTCTTATCCTCATGTTAACCGTCAGATCTCCAATAAGAAGTTTGAAATAGGAAAAGATTTTAAAAGTTTCAGGTACATAGTTTTCATTTGTTAACTTAATCACGTACTTTCATGATTGCAAGTCGATACAGTGATAAAAATTTAGAACAGTTCGTTTCGCCAACGCAATCAAGCAAGTTATAAAATTTTCGAAATCATCGAAGTACACCCACAGATGAATGAATACATGCAGCGGCTTTAGTTTTGAAAAAAATTTTTTCAGAAAAGACGAAAACGTAGTATAAAGAAGCTTTTGCTTTCATACAAAATCTTTTAAGCGAGGAGAATGTATTCAGGAATATTTTACAGACAAAAAGGGAGGAGGATAAGATGAGGAATGTTGAATGATGCTTGTCTTATCGATAACAGGTTGGTGGAAAGGAAATACATTTGACAAAAGGGAGACTTACTGTCGTGCGATAAAACAAGAACTGCTTGTAACTTTAAGAAGTGGAGATGTACTAATCGCGCTACTGTAAATGGAATAATTCTCGATACACCAGGATCGATTCAGTGCCAGACGTATGGCTGGATAATCATCATTGACTGAACAAAAACCATAAGGAGGTTAAGCTAAAGGTCTACAAGGATAAGCTGAAGTGCAACAAAATGGAAGTTTCACTTTGTGCGTTTGTGTCTCACTTGTACCGAAAGCAGTGCAACAACAACAAGTCATCTCTGATGATCTTAGCGCCTCCTTTTTTTCTCCACTATACGCAATATTGCATTTCTTACCGATTTGTCTCGCATCAGAATCCTTGTTTTAATCGAAAAACATTTCTGTTTGAACAAAAACATTCTGAATCTCTCTGAAATCAGACTGACCCAATTTCTTTCATAAAATAAACATTTCTACACTTCTCTAGTCAAAACTGATTAAAATTGAAGTCAAAACTTTCAGTAAAAAGGTATGACCTAATAGATATTCTTGTTGGAATATTTTCCACCTTAATGAATATTACTTACATCATAGTTGCATAATACTTTCTATTGAATAGATAATTCGACTTCATTTAAATCTCACTTCTATTCCTTAGTCATAATTCCCATCACTTCTCTTTGTGTATTTAATATTTTATATTCTATGTATTATTTCTACTATCTTCTTCCGCCTTCTAATACTAGGATTTTCTTATAAACCCGAAATTAGTACATTTTGCGAAATCCTCATGCATTTGTACTTACACTGAATCTGAAAGTCTTGTTTTAGATTTCCCTCTTGTATATTAAGTTTCGAACCCGTCTAATATAAAGTGTAGAAAACAGGTTCCTGAAAAATTTTACGCTTACTCTGATCAAAGTAGATCCTGTTGTACTTAATCTATTACTGACTGAATGATTTCAGTAAATACAAGAAATATTAATAAGTGCATTTTGTCCAACCACTCCTGCAATGAGTTATTTTTTTAAGTAGGATACAAATTTGTCATATCATTGAACTTTGACTGCGATCAATATTGCATGCTCCATTGTTTATTTGCTGCTTGACATATGTAATTTTAGTGTATTTGAAGACGTATATTTATGAACCAATGTAAAAAAGTGTTGGAAATCTTTAGCGTTAGTTGTAAGATGTAAATGATATTCTGTAGTTGATCTATTATGTATAATTCATCACATTCATGTTACATCCGAATTAGTTTACATTTTTTGGCAAAAGGAAAACGAAGCCTTTAGACTAATTAACTTTGTCCACAGAATACTTGTGTGTATGTATATATGTAAAATAATGTAATTAAAAATTAAAAGTTTAATCAATTATGCGTAATTCATCAGAATTCCATCAGAGAGTCAATTTTGCTAGCTATTACATTCTAATGAGTTTGCGAAATTGCTTATCTTTAAGTTTTCTAAAAATTCATTCACTTTCGAAAACATATAGTTCTTCGTAATCGTGTCACTCCAAATATTATTTCATCTTATTTTCTGAATTATAGCGTTGTTTTCTCCATTTTCTTGTTGTTTAAGTTGTCCAACATATTTTAGGATTTGTGACATGCAGACTACTTTCTCCTTTTTTGGCAGATTTTTTCTCTAACAATTTTTTCTGGTATTACACTTTCCGAAACTGCGGTTCTCATTCGGTGGTATCCCTTAAGTGCACGTAAATTAAAAGCAATTTGCAAAACTTATGAATGATTTCGAGAATCTTGTGTTCAATCTGTAGGAGTGATGAATTACTGGAGGTATTTCGAGATTGCATTCTTGAACTTTGCACCACTGAATGACAGCTTGTCTAATTTCTTTCGTGCCTATTTCATTCAGAATCCTTCTAGATCAAAGAGCCAGAAGGTGGTGCCTTTAAAAATTATCTTGATTTCAGGATCGTCCTATATAATCCAGAAATATAATTTTGACCGATTTACTTACATTACTGCAATACATTAATATCTTTCGTATAACGTTTCTACGCCTGCATTTCACATTAGCTTGTATTTTTTCAGATTTTTTTCAACAATTAAATTTTTTGTTCAAGAAGACAGTGAAAATTGTAATGTTTCGAAGTGAAAAATTCAGTTTTCATAGAAAAACCTAGTGCCAAAATCTGCGAGCGGCCTTTAACGTCTTTTTTTTTTCATCCTGATGTCCGAATCTTTTTCACAATCTGTTTTTTTTCATGAGGAATTCAAAAGTAGCAATCTGTTTTTGTCACTCTTTGGCTGCAACACGAAGTTTCATGAAATTTCAATTTCGTTTTGACTTATTTCGTTCGCTGTTTTGAATGCTTGTTTTTCTACTATAAGCTGTTCAGTGTATTATTATCTTTTCTGTCACATTTATTTGTTTAAGTTTAAGTAGAAAACTAACAGTTTATTTAAGCCACTGATTGAATATATTGGAACTTAAGTATAATAAAGTGAAATTTGAGAATTATTGTAGAATAGAACTAAAAAATGTCTGTTCTATAGTTAGATCCAAATATACAACCGTTGCAGCGAAGAAGTAATAAAACATAAATTTCGGTCAGTGCTGAATGTAGAAATTTAGCTACTTTTTTCTGAAGCATCATCGTATACAGTCGGTGAAATCGATATCAATGACTTTATGGGAAATGATGCAGAACAATGCTGCTTCCTCCATTTGGAAATCGATTTTTTCAGCAGTCAGTGATCAGTGCAACACATTTCATGCTGACAGAGTTTCAGGTATTTTTAGAAGTTCAGAAAAGAAAGAAGAAATTAGAATATTGCTTTTTTTTTTCTTTATTGCTCCTCGGTTCTCATTTCTTTTGTTCTTTTGTTAATATTCGAATTGTTTAGTGACTGTGCATGTATATCTAATACACTGTAGAAAATCTCCCAAATAAGCTTTTACCTTATAGAAAACGTTCTCTAAGTTGAGAAATGCAGTTACCTACAGAAATGTAAAATGAGTCCAGCTGTTCCATGCTAAAGAATCTCTTCTGCTCATATTTTAATCCTTCATTAAATCGGAAGTATTCGTAAAATCAACAAAATAAAAAAAAAAAAAAGATTCAGTCACATATTTTATTTAGGAAGTATATGCAACAAAAATTCCTTACGTAATATTGCTTCCGTAAAATTATTCCCAGCTAACACAGAATTGAAAAATGACAGTATGGTCCTTGTGTACGAAGGTTTCATATCTAGTTTATGGCAAAGTTAAAGGTTGAAATTGAAAAAAGACTTTTGTAGATCATCGTGTTCGTTCAAAAATCGCAGCAGTTTACTAATGATGGCTTAGATTTAGGCAAATCATTTTTTTTACAGTACTGAACTGTCGTCATCTGACATGTTTCCCCTGAATACAGTGACAAACCTAATACAGAACTGTGGCGAGAAGACAAGCAAGCAATAATGTAAAATGAACAGTAGAGACTGTAATGTATTCTTGAAGTGAGGTATGAGTACTTAAGTTGGCTGAAGTGAACAATTCTGCTTGAGAAAAGATTGTGTGAAGATTGAAATGGAATCTATACTTTCATATTCTTGAAGCTTCTTCAAGATTATTCTAATTTGTCCAATCGTTTGGAATAATATCCCTTGAGACCGAAGATGAATAATATTTCTCCGTATTTTTCCATCTCAAGCAATACTGCTTTTGTTTTCTGTTCTCTCCACTGGTTTAAACTTCATTTTTTCTTTACAAGGATTTCTGAATTTAACAAAAAGCTTGTCACTAGAAAAAATCTGTGACAGGGAAAAAGAGTTATTCGAAGAAGCAATTAGTACGAAAGATGTTCAAAATTCACCCATTTCTTTTGCTTTTTTTCGTTCTTTCTTTGGGTTTTTTTTTTTCTTTTCATGTCATGCAAACCGCATATTTTACTTCAATCTATGCTTTTTGAAGTAAATTGACTAAAAATGAAAGAGAAACTGGTTTAGGGGGAGGGGTGGAGAGTAAAGAAGAAGCAGTATAAGACGATCTTTTGCTTTCTTAGATGCAGATACAACAAGGCTGCAGCAACTATATAAAAAAAAATAAAGCTTAAACAAAGTAAAGACAAACTTTCTCCAACCAATATGTTCCTATATGCCGTAGAGTTCCCTAAATCGAGAAAATTTGGAACGCATAAAACTTCTCACTTTCCTTTGCTTCATAATTAAGAAGAAGGGAAGTTTCCCGTGAACGATTCTTGAAAATCAGTGGCAGTTTCATTTTATTTCTTTGTCTCATTCTACAACTGTATTTACAACAATTTTTCATTTCTCAATCCTGTAGAAATCCGCATGACAGCCAGTGTTGTTGAACGACTTGTCAACGCCATTCATTTAAATGCAGCACCTCCAAAGCCGAACTCTTTACTTGTATTCGTCTGTAAGTTAGGTAAAGTTTCTTTAAATATTACATATTATTTTTGTTATGATATTTATTTGAATATCTTTTCTTGGATACAAGAAGTGTATACGTTTGCATAGAAGATGATTCTGGTTTCAAAAATCCTTCAAGAAAACTAAAATGTTTATGCATGTTACAATATAAAATTATGAACTGCAACTAATTCAAAAAATTGTTTCTATTCATACTTCAATTGTAAAATCAACAGAATAGAAAAAAAAAATTCATAATCAGTGCAAAAAATTATGTTAGTCTTACACTGAACCAGTTTTGATTTCCTTTGAATAAGGTAAGGTGTTAGCCGCTCAGTTTCCAAAAATTTCTGGAACTGATCTTTTTACAGAATTAAAGACTGTCATCTTATGTTTTGAAGTTTGTTTGTCTTACATTCAGCGTTATCGAAATTTGTTGATTATATTTCTCAAATTCAGATCTATAATTCAAATCTCTCTATACACTCTTGTTTTTTGCTTTCGTCCATTCATTCATTGCATTATTCATTAGAGATCAATTGTTACTATATTAATGAGGAATTTTCCTAAGTTTATAATTGAATTTCGCTTAGAAAAAGTGAAATTGTAAAATCAATATTGTGAGATAGAGATATGTAATTCCACATTTTATTATCTCGGAAACTTTTGTTCCGTATCAATCTACCAGATTTCAGAAGTGTAAAAATGCTTAGTTTATGCATCTTCAACTGATATGGAATTTATGTTCTCAGTGTGGTGGAATTCCCGAGGCTTCATTCAGATGATAAATTTTGTTTTGAACTACTAAAAAACTGATTTATAAACCGAATTTGTTAGTTTTTTACATGAACCTCTTGGAGCGATGTGATTTTTTGAATCACATAGAATTGTTAACTTTTGTTACTTGCAAATATTGAGATGCATTATCATTGTAAGTTCATTTATTTCTTTGTTACACTGAACTGTTGTTGATGCAGTTCCGTTTTTTCCTCATTTACATCAGCTATTTTTAGCTTCATCACATCCAAACAGTTCGACAGTACATGATTTTGTAATTGGTGATGAACCAATTGCTTTATTTCGACCGGAACTTGAGAAACTACAACATATATTACATTTTCCCGAAGAATTAGCTTTTCAGGTATGAAAAAAAAAATACTGACTCTAAATTCATTTTAAAATTATTCCATTCTTTTTCCATAATTCTTCATTTTTACCGATGGCATTACGAAAGTATTAGAAATAGTTTTTTATTACAAAATGGAGCTGTATAAGAACGTAATAAAATTTGGATATCTTCAGTGTTTTGTAATTTATTTTTGAAAGAAATTAATGTTGAAAACTTTTTTTTTTTTTTTTTTTTCATTCGAATTTCTTGGTATAGAATTTGCTTGTTTAAACTAAGATTTTTGAAAAGGGGAACGTGTTTAGAATTAAGGGTTCACATGTGATAATGCTAAATGTACAAGGTTTTTAGTTGTCAGCAACCGAATATCAATTATTCTATGGGATGCAACCGATAGATTATGTCCATTATGTAAGCTGCGATTTAACTTCAGTACCAGTTGCAAACAATCCAAGTCCCGTTCAAAATCTTGTTAAGCGCTTATCTGAGGTGTGCTTAAAGTTCTCCATTATCCAACAGTTATCATTTATCCTTTGCTTTAGGTAAACTTATAATATGGTTGTAAATGAATTACGTACTCTAAAAATTTATTACTATTAACTTAAATCATTAATTTTATGTATCCGCAAGAGGCTGCAATTAGAACAGTGATTAGATTTATTGGCAAAACGTAACTTTGGCATTATTTCAATAAAGCTTTAATTTGGCCGGGTGGCTAAATTTTTATGCTTGAGAAATTGAAAATAATTATTACCGATAAGAACAGATAACCCAATAAGACAAATTTTAATATTTTTTAATTTTTTGGTATGCATTTTGCAGGTAAGATAACGATAATTATCAGCAATTTTTCAATTTTTAAGTCGTTTTTCAGATAAGTTCGTGGGTAACCCATCTTATACTTAGCATGCCAACATCTGAAGAACGGAAAATAACTCTTATTTCTATTTTCCGAATGATCGATACGTGCTGGAACATTGGTTAATTTTTACTACAAACTTGTTATCGGTGTTGACCTTTCCCAAATTTCTGCTTTTCATTTTTCTGTCAAATTTCTAAATAATTTCTCGTTTCGAAATTATGCTTTATCATTGATTTTAAAAACTTCTATTAAAAAAAAAAAAAAAACGAAACACATGCTGTTTGCATCAGTTACGAAAATGAGTTGTAGAAATTCATAGGGATGTTTGTTAAAGGATTTAAGATTCAATAAGTAAGTATTAGTGTTTGACAGTGATTTTTTTAAATGTTTTTTTTCTTTTAAGTTCTGATTAAATTTTGAATATTGGGTTCACCTTAATACAACATTAAATTATTTGTATTTTCTCCATTTTTTTAAAGGATAAGGTATTTAGCGAAGATTTATCTATGTGTTTAGGTGTATGTTTTTTTTTTTATCTACATGTTTGTATTGCTTTTTGTTTGGAAAAAGAATGATGTAAATTGAAAAAGAAATACAAAAGAATAAGTCAAAGCGGAATAAAAACAGAAAATGGTTAATGTTTTTTATCTTTAGGCAATTTCAACGCAGCCGTTGAAATTCTGATGGGACTGAAAAGTGAAAAATTGCGATCATTTTGGTTGTCAATGAGATCTGAGGAAAAGAATAAATATGAACAGGTCCTTTGTTGAAAAATTTCATCTAGAGGAAAGCGGAAAATTGTTTAATAAACTTTATATCACTTCAAAAATTTGATGTTATTTTTGATCACTGGAAAGAAAGGAAAAACTACGGTGTTGTGCAAAATTTACAGCTTTGTGATGCTCTGTTACCCAGTAATCAGGCTGCTTTGTCGAGTATTTATCGAGAAGCGATTCAAAGAGCTTTACGCATGCCACAGTGCAGGCTGATTCCTTTTTTTGGTATCTTCCTGCGTGATTTATATGCAATAGTAAACGACATGCCAAGCGTTGTGATAACTGATGATGAAAATAAAGAGAGGCTTGAGGTATCATTGTTCCTTTACAACGCTAAATCGAATAAAAATATACCAAGTTAATGATTAATTTATTGAAAAGTTTTTGAATCTTTTTTGTAGCTTATGAATAAACAAACTGGCGATAATCGTTGTACGTCTGAAATTGGAGTTAGTGGTTTGTTAAATGCTGATAAGATTAGTTTGGTGGCTGTGGTGCTTGATAATTTGGAACTGTTTTACCGCCATTATAAGAATGTAACCAGTTTTGTCATGGATCCTACGAAACCAAGTATTGGGAAAGAAAATCCAAAACCTAAGGTATGTTTATAATCTTAGTTTATCAAAGGGTCTTAAAAACAAAAATAAAACGTAAACGAATATATTTGAAGTTCAACGAATTTCGACCTTGCGAACCGTAAATTTTGAGGGTTATCATCCAGTGCAACCTGTCAAAGGTGTTGCGAGAAATGTCACTTTGGTACCTTTGGATACGAACCGTTTCGATCTGGATGTGATCCAAAGGCTTCATCATGGTACCACAGTCATTCATTGTGATCCGTATACAAGTCGCAGCACCCTTTGTATGCTAAAACTGGATGCCACTTGTGGCTTGTTGTCATGGCATAAAGTTGGTTATTTGGGAACAAAGGAGACAAAAGATAAGGTATTCTTTAACTCATTAATTTTAAGAATCTTGAATGAGAGGTTTTTCGTTAAAATATGCAGATGTTTTAGGAATTTTTCTCCGGATATACATGAAATTTGCTGGTTATGAACTCATATCTTTCAAAATTTCTAATATGATGTCCAAGTTGAGAAGTTCAGCTTATTTCTCGAAAAGCTTCCACTCCAATTAATTTTTTTTTTTTAAAGAGAAACCATCTTAAATACATTCTAGGATGCATATATCTCATCAGTGACACGAATACAAAGTGCAAAACTGCAAAGTACGACACCACTAGAAAGTGGAAATCCTCCTTCATCACCAAGTTTACGACCAGCTGGAGCTGCCTGTACTATGTTGGAATGTGGCTTTTTAAAGCTTTCCTATATTAAATCTGTTGAAAATGTTACTTCACACGACATCAACATTGAGGTCAAATCACTGTTAAACTTCATCAGATTGAAATTTTTCTTTCTGGAATATTTTGAAATCTAGTCAAGGTAAACGTGACCTTTAGCAGGATATGAGTGCTAAAAAAACAGACGAATCTAAGGATATGAACATTGAATTTTTCATTATTTCGAAGGACTGCCTTTTCAGAACATTTACCGACGCTACTGCAATGAAGATATGTCTGTGCAAATGCATTGCTGGACAATAAATTTTGGTTGTTATTTGTCTGATAATGAATTTTTGTACTTTATCGCACCGGAGAAAAGCGCTCAGTGCTGGATAATCGGGTTAACAGCTGTATGTTTGTAATTTAAATTATGCAATAATAATTAAGGGTTTTTAGTGATGAATTCTATGTTTATCTAATAAATCTTGAAACACATTTACTTTCTCATTTTCCTCTTTTTACTGGAGTCAAGACTACGTAGTTATAATAAATACAGTTAAAGGAATTTATAAAAATATCCTAAAATTTGTTCTTTAATTTTTTGATAGTTAAAGCTTTTCAGATTGTAAACTACTTCCTAGAACAGCAAAAATGCGCAGATCGACGAGTTTTATGGCTTAGAAAACTGTATTTACAATTGTATAACAATTACGAACAGGATAACGTGATCGATGAAGGCGTGATATCTACTGTACAGCCTCATGAAGCTCTACAAGCTTTTGGTGGCCGAGCCAAAGAGCAGAGGGCTTTAGGTATAACTAGATAAGTATTTTGATGAGAATCTATACCTTTAACGATTTCTTGCATCTCTGAAGATGCTTTAAATATTCTATTTCTTGTCAGGTTTGCAAAGTATCGTTTCGAAATCACTTCAATCAGGAACGATTCGTTCTGCAGAGGTTACGGCAAAAAAAGGTCGTTTAAAACAAATGACAAGTGCTGTTACTCGCCAAATGAAATTTGCAAACCGTAGTGCTCATCCACAACCATTTATATCTTTGAAGGTGTTTTAAATATCCACATTCTTGAATACTGTTTTTGAATATCTAGAACTTTGAACTGCTTTGGTCTTCTTTGTCAAAATTTCATGGAAACTGTTTAAGAAGAATGTTAATATGATCATCATTTTAAAATACACATTGTGAGAGGAATTTGAAGAATCGAATATTTTAACCGGAAACATGCGTAATATTTTTATGGCTGTAATATTTTTCTGAAAACCCAAATTTTCAGGCGCAATACCAGTCAGTACGAAATCGCATAACTGGCAGACAGTTTACTGTATCAGACCCAAGCATATCAAAAATGCCTCGATCACATGACAGTTCCTCATCAGTCGATACTATTAGTCTCTCCTCTTGGTACAAATCCAGAAAGTTATCAGCAAGAACTTTAGCCAATTTCTGGTCTGAGAAGACAAAAAAGTAAGCCCTGATTTTATGACTTGCATGATAGCCTTCCAAATTGTTCAGAAATATATTTCAGAATATTAAAATTGTATTGTGAACAAATAATTTCATTTTTCAAACATCTCCTTCTACATGCATAGCTAAAAATTGCTTAGTTGTTTTTTTTTTTTATAGCATGGAGTACCAAAAAGTCGAAATATTTCAAAATTACTACTACTTCTTTTTTAGTAGGACAAAAAGTTCCGAAAATACAAGTCAAAACCCAGCTTTCTCTAAGGAGTTTTTGCTGTCCTCGAAATCGTGTGAAGAAGAATATGCTGAGAAGCCCTTAACATTATTCGAATTCATTGAATTGTACAAATCATTTAATGCAAACATGCGAACAGATCTAAAGTAAGTTCATTTTAGAAAATACGCTTTGAAGAACTTGAGTTCATACGAAAACATGTCAACAGTAATGATTATGCTTTTTTTTAGAGATATTTTCAATGATTTCCTCGTGGCATATGGATGTGGCAACGCAAATGCAGTTGAATGTGAAAAAAATCAAAAATTTTCACAAATAGAATCACCGCTTTGGGATACTGAGTTTATACCAAACGGTTCATAATTCAGCGTAAACATTGGAATTGAAGGAAGATGATGTTTACATAAAAAAATTACATTTTGATATAGACCAACATATATATACATATATATCGTGACTGTCTATCTATGTTTTTCTTATATGTTTAGGCAGAATTATTTAATAACAGTTCATGCGCTTTTTTGCAGATGTCCTTACAAGGAATACTTTTACAACTCAGCATATCAGTGAGAAGCAACAAAAGGTATACAACGCACTAGCTCTTGCTAGTTTAAATAGGTGTTTTTTTTTTTTTTTTTTTCGTTCAAAAAAAGAGTTGGAAACTGATCGTTGTTTTTTTGGACTTATGAAATATCTAAGTGAGAAGCGTTTTTGATGTGTACATAGTTACAGCACAATTGCAAGAATGTATTACTTAAATTCTTTTATAAACGAATTGGGAGAGAAAGTCAAGAAGGTAGCAATTAGTGCCTAAATATCAAAAACAGTAATAATCCTTACGATCTGTGTTATAAGAATAAAGAATTCTTACAATTTTTTCATATCAGGAAATTTTTGTAACAAGCATACTATTTCAGTATGGACCTAACGGATACATCAAGATATTCATTTTTAACTCCTGCAATGCTGAAACAGTTTATTGAGATACATCAGATGGAAATTGTGGATGAAGATTATGCAATCAAAATAATACAGGTCTTATAATGAATGTAATGACATGAAATTATATATCGTGTTTGTATAATTTTGAAAACTTTTATTGCTTCCAGGAACACGAACCGAATTCAATTTACCGAAGTAGTCAGCAGCTTTCATTTGAAGGATTTGTACGATATATAACTGACTCAACGAATTATGCGTTTGTGCCTGAAGCAATCAAACCTGATCAGGATATACTTCATTATCCATTAAACTATTACTATATTTGCTCAAGTCACAATACTTACCTCACAGGTCATCAGCTGAAGGGTGAATCATCCACCGAAATGTATCGCCAGGTTGGATTTACATGCACAAGAATTACAAATAAATGTTATTATTATTATACCTATTAGTAATTAAGGCTGCTGTTCTTACCATCAGATCATTTCTATATTTACTTAAGTTCAATAACAAAGTAATTCCAAAAAATTGCATTTCTTTTATGTGACTTGAATGAATGATGTACATTGTTTTAATCAAATTTGTCAAAATTTGAATATTTGGTGCTACACGAAAAAACGCATATACGACTTTTTAAGTTAATTAAATTAAATTAATTTATATTCCAGGTAAATTTTGCAAAAAATTGTAGGTACTATTGACAGGCTGTCGTTGCGTTGAATTAGATTGCTGGGATGGTGAAAATGGCCTGCCCCAGATATTCCATGGCCACACTTTGACATCTAAAATTGGCTTTCGTGAAGTACTTACTATCATTAAAAAAAGTGCCTTCGCTACCAGCAATTTACCTGTTATTTTATCAATCGAAAATCATTGCTCACTTCAGCAGCAAGCGAGAATGGCTCAAATGTTTAGAGTTCGATTTCCACCTTTTTGAACTTTGATTTTAAAAATTCATTTTGCCTAAGGTTTCACTTGAAGCAGTGCTCATGTGTATTTCAGAATTACCTCGGTGAAGAACTAGTTACGTATTTCTTGTTCGAAGCTGACTATAGTAATTCTCCACGACTTCCATCACCGTGGCAATTGCAGAATAAAATTTTAATTAAAAATAAGAAATTGGTCGCAGAACCAAGTGTCGGACTGCGTGTGGATAAGTACTTTATCAAAAATGAAAGCGATGCGGTTATGGAGCAGACTGAGTTTGTTTATTTGATAAAATAATCCTTTAACCACTTTTTAGAAAAATAATGAATGCTTAAAATTTGCAGTGGATTCTATGGAACAGATGAAGATGATCTTGAGGAATTTTATGATGATTTGGATGACGAAGAAGCAGGTCAGCTTACATTTTACTACTGGTTCCATATAAACCTCAAATGATGTAATTTATCTCAATTGTTTTGATGTTATGCAGGTTCGGAAAGTCTGAGGATAATAAATCGATTGTCAAGAGGTACACTGCATGAATCGTCCGGTGAAACTGAAGAGGAGCACAAGTACTCTGTATCCAAATCAGAACATGAGGTTTGTTTAAACTTCTAAAATTTTTGACCACCCAAATATTTCAGAAGTACTCGTATAACAGTAATATTTCTGCAATACAGATCGGAATTTGGCAGGGCACATAACCTGGAAAAACTTTAATTTGTGCGCACCATGCATCATTAGTGTTATAAATTCGGTATGTTATCTGTTTCATTTTTAATTGGCTGAATCAGTTTGTCATCTGATGTTACAGAACTGAATAATTTAGCCATTCTGTAGTTCATACATGTTTAATAAATGACATCTCACTGGAATGATTTGTCTGTAACATTCTTTTAATACTAGACAAGTGCATCATTCAACTGGGGAGCAGATGATAAACTATCATCATTTAATCAAGAAATAGTGTTGCAGAGGCCCATTAAGAAGATATCAGGAACCCCAGTTGCACCTGAATTATCAGATTTGGTGAATTACATGCAGACTACCAAATTCAAGGTAGGATTAACTGTTTGATGGCGGCCACTCAAGCTTCTCTGAACGTTAAGTACGACTTTACACGTTCAGTCTGAGTTGAGTCTCGCAAAGATTCTGTATATTGTAGTGATGTGTCACTATTTGAGATTTTTATAATGTTGCGTAAATGTCCCTTAATGTCATATGGTGGTAAAGAGAATTTTTTGGGGTTTTCCTGGTATGGTCGATTTTGTTCATCGACGAGAAGAACCTACCAAATCTTCGATGCTGGGGATGACTCGAGCAGGTTCTAATTTATTACCCATATCAACTCCATCACGACGGTTACGGAATATTGCATTATCCAATGGGGAAAATACACTGAAATCTGGAGAAGAAACTCGATTTTCTTTGTCAAGGCCCAACAGTAATGCATCATGCTATCAGGTTATATCACTGAATGAATCATCCGCCCGGAAGCTTTCAAGGTGATTATTGCAACTTCAAAAACTAACATTTATAGAGCTCACTAGCTCAAAAATTTATAAACCTGCAGTTATCATAAAGTTTATAAGGCTACAATCTTGAGAAAAATGGATTTTCTGAACATTTCAGGAAACACCCATTGGAATTTATCGCTTATTCACGTGAACAGATTGTTAGAACGTATCCTGGCGGTATGCGCATTGATTCCTCTAACTTCAATCCAGTTCATTATTGGGCATTTGGTTTGCAAATGGTTGCCTTGAATTTTCAAACCACTGATACAGCAATGGCCGTAAACGCAGCAATGTTCGAACAAACTGGGAATTGTGGATATATTTTGAAACCGAGGGTTTTATGGGACAATTCCCATCCCCACTATAATCGTTTTAATCCGCTCTGCAAAGATACTACTTCAATATCTGCGCTGTTTTATACAATTAAGGTAAATTTTTGCTTGTTTCTCGTTCCAATCAATCGTTATTTGGTGAATTAAATAAGTAGCTATACGAAGAGAAATAAAATCAGTCCATGATCGAGCGTTAAATGTTACCCGTTAGTTTTTCGGCAAAACATCTAGGTTTGTTCTTCGCAATGAATTGAAAGCACTCAGATTTCAGGTAAGAAATATCAAAATTTAGTCTTTATAACTTTATGAGTAGAAGATTCAAGAGTTAGTTTTGATTAAACTCGACTTCAAGAGTGTATCCTCTCGTTATGGATTTGATTTATATTACGTGAGTGAGATTGTACATGCATTTAAAAACTTACACAATAATTAACTTTTTTTGTCATTTTTCGTGCTAAAATTTGAACTTGAATGTTTAATATCCATTTCTTTAGATAATATCAGGACAGCATGTTTGTCCAAATCAGCATAGCGCTTCAACGTATGTTGAAGTGGAGATCATCGGAATACCAGCGGACTGTGCCAAAGAGAAAAGTAAAACAGTAAATCGAAATTCCGTGAACCCAATTTGGAATCACACTTCAACATTTCGAATCTCTTTGGTTTATCTAGCTTTTTTACGAATCGCTGTCTGCGATAGCACAAGTGGCAGGTATTTCTTTCGTCCATTTTCCTCAACAAATAATTTGGTGTTCTAAAATTAAGAAATTTTTTCCTCAGTGCGACCTGCGCCTTTTCATATACATATTTTATTAGATGTATGGCACAACGAGTAGTTCCTGTGCGTTGTATTCGGGCAGGATATCGTCATCTCCCATTACGAACACCCACAAATATACCGATGGATCAGGGAACTATATTTCTATATTCACATTTTGAACAAGAAGAACATATTTATTTACATGACGAAGATAGTATTGTCAATTGTAATACTGATCAACAACTGCAACCTCAGACACTTAATATCTGTCCGGTTAGGCTTTGTGGAAGTATCTGATTCCATTTATATTACTTTACCTTACCTAATTTACTAATATTTCAATGGTCGCAAGCACTTCTATAATAAAGTCGCTTATTTAAGACGGCAACGATAAAAGCAGTTCCCATTCTCAAACGTCAGATTTTTGTATTGCGAATATCGGGCTTATATAATGACGATACACCAGTTATTGTGCACGCTGAGTCATTTACCACAGTGAAGAATGTCGTACAAATGGTATGAATGTTAGTTAGGTTTATTTGTATTCTGTATTCTAATCCAGTTCATTTGAAGTACTTCTGTTTTGATTTAATTAAGTAAGTCTAAATATTCATTTAGGACGATAGATTCTAATATTTTGTACCAACTTTTTATAGGCACTCATAAATGCCGGAAAAAATGCGGATACAACTGAGGAATATGTTTTGGTTGAAGTAAATAGCAATGAAGTGTTGAGTAACAGTGATGAACAACAAAATATGCAGTGCAGATATCGTATTTTACCGTCCAAGAAACCGATCATGGATTTTGTTGCATGCTGGAATGGTTCCATGCGTCGTTTCGTCATCAGGAAAAAAGGAACGGCGGGTTTATGCTTCATGACAGAATCGCACATGAAATCTTATAAAATTCACTCCTTTTGAATTCTGATGTGAACTATTGGGCTTCCAATGACTTGTAGTGTTTGTTCTAGGACCCTAGCGGTAAAGCTTGGATCAGTTCTATAATCAAGAGTGGTAGCGGAACACCGTCATCATCGTCAACAATTCAGTCACCATCTTGCGCTCAATCTCCTTTAGGGAGAAAAACAAATAATCGTTCCTTAGGACAACATCCTATGCTTCATAGAATAAAGTCTTTGGATCACTATGTTTTTAACGAGAAGGAGATTACAACTGGTAATATCTTTTGCAGTACTCAGAAAGTAAAGAAACTTCTTGAACTACATAGTTTCCTTGGCGTCGAATAATTTGCTTTTTAAAGAACTTCAGTTTGAAATCAGTTGTTTCATTTGTAATCTATTCATAGATTTGCGTCCATTCACATGTACAATGAGCGGAACTTTTCTGATGTGTGTTCATAATGTTAGCAGACATCAACCGTACGTTATTCTTCGGGCGAGTATTTACAGCACTGCTAACGATATCATCAAAGAAGTACCTCGTAATTTACATTAAAACAAAAATAAGAAAAAGTTTCTATAAAAGTGAATTAAAAATCCTTAACGCGGTGTAAACTTGAAAGATTAGGATGTTGATATATGAGAGGGTACGTTTTACGATGCTTCAGGCATACGGAAGAAGCACTGCTTACTATGAATTTTTGTCTTTTTGGTGCTTCATTAGAGTTAGAATCTTTAGTTTGGCCTAAATGATGCACTCATCTAGTTTTTCATCTAAAATCGACAAAAACATTAAAATGGGAACAATGAGGATGTAACAATATCGAGTCAGTTGTTATTGTGACATCCATAAATTATGTTAGATGAACAGTATGTTTGCAATAGGTACAAATCTGCTAATGTATAAGCAACCGAAATTTTGATATCTACACTCACAATTCACTTGTATTTTGAGTTTTTAAGGTTTTCTTGAAATCACAACAAGCAAATGTCACTGAATCAGAATACATACTGGTTGAAGAAACAATGAAACAACCAGTTTCAGCGCAATCTAGATCAGTAGACCAGAACATATCTGGGAATATTATCTCATTTGAAGGGAAAAACATTGAAAGTTAGTTGATCACTTTGGTCTTTTCAAAAGAATATGCTACTGTATGAATACTTTAACAGAAAAACAAATTCTGTATCCCGTTTTTACATTAACTTACTCATGTTAGTAATACCTACGAAACATCTGAACATTTGGAAATACAGTATACAGTAATTGTTTCACAGTAACTGTTTTGCAGCAGCAAAACCTTTTGAGTATACAGACGTCTCTATGAGAGTGTTGGCATCAAATGAAATTGTTTGGAAAGCGCAGAGTGCATGGAAAACACCTGGACGTTTCATCTTGGAAAATCGGGAATACACTATCCATTCAACTAGAGAACAAGTGAAAAATTTATTGGAAGCACTCGAAAATGCGCATGTAAGTGCTGGCCTTTCACTACCAGTTAAAGATTAAGAAACTGTTGATTTTCTCACTAATATTTCCGCTCAATTTTTTTTTCTTTTCTTGATCAAAATTATTCTGCATCTATTTGTTATATTATGGTGTTTTCATTGCAAAGTTTCAACTTCACTCAGTGAAGCAAATTATTCCTAGAAAGGTGCATTGATATAAATCTCTGAAGTTTACGGTTATAGGACATCAGTTTCTGTTATGGATTTTTTTTAACTTCTTTAGAATGAATTTTTGAACTTCTCTTATACTTATTAGCATGGAAAAATTGTTGATCTTTATTACAGGTAGAAATTTTATATACAAGTAGAATTTACATCTTAGTTTAATTTCTGTTAATTCTTTCGTTATTTCACTTTGATGACACCTTACACATGTACATGAAAGAAATCCAAAAACACTGGTAAACATTTTTATAACATCTGCCGATATTTTAGACAGAAAATCCTGGTGATTATTGTAAGCATCCACTTCTAACCCGAACTTGTACAATTTAATTCTAAATACATGCAGTCGTCCCTCTTAACAACATTGTCATGCATTAACCATGATCTCATTTTCATCCATCATAATCCTATTTCGATAAGGAACTGTGACATTTCCTGTGACATAATAATGATTGAAAAAATAAAGATGCGAATAATTTCAAGAATACTTTCAAGTTGTACACTGGACAATGGTGCAATTGTCAAGCAACATTCGAAATTTAATAGCATTTTTAAAGGTTCAAGTTCCTCACTGCTTTTTCCTTCTGTCCTACTCCTTTCGTCTAGTATCGGTATATGAGTCTAGAAATGTTTAAGCTTTTTTTAAAAGACTGCACATGCACAAGCACAGTTACACAAATACGAGATGAAAGTGCAGGTTTACTGCGACATTTCAAAATTAAGAAATCTGGATTTACAAAGGCACAGAAATATGAAGCTTCAATGGAATGCTGGGAAGCAGTGTGATTATTAAGCTCACATGAGCAAGAATAAAATTTCTTCGCGTGGTGTCATTTGGGATGCGGTATTTTCAGTTTCACGTGGAATCCTACCAGTGTTTCCATCCTGCTTGCTTCAATTTATTTGGTTTCCCAACTAAAAATTTCCGCTTATATTTTACGTCTATCCCGTTACCACTTCCCACTATCGAATTTCACCCATCCTGCTCATGACTTATTGCAAAAGTAAAGAATTAAAGTTCAGTTGAAATCAAGAGCTTATTCATATCCAAACCATGTTTCACTATATCATACCACACAGTTACTCTAAACTTTAACACGATCCGAATTTGCAAATCATAATCACGGCCATCGCATTTTTTCTATAATTCACGCGTTCCGATTTCTGCTGTATGCTTTCCTTGAACAAAATTTTCTAGCATGATGATTTGCCACCAACCCCGTAAACCTATAATGATTTTTACTATGTGGAAAATATGAACTGAACAGGAAGATAAAAAACATTTATAAAAATCGAGATGAAAAATTAATACAGTGAGCAATGAGGAATTTCCACTGAATTTTACTTGGTCAAAAATTATGTAAACGCGCAGTACGAAGTTTCATTAAAAAAAAAATCAGAATTTTGGACATATGTGACGGACAATCGCGCTATTACCTTTATACCATATTACAATGTCGAAATTTTCGCAGCAAACTCTTTTGCAGGGTATACTTTAACTGTTTTGGAACAGGTTTTTTACAAATCCATTTTATAAAATATAATCTTGCATGCTGTATTACATCGAGAAACAGCATTCAAGAAAAGCTAAGCGTGATGCAAATTTTAGGACCACCGGGAAATAGTGCAAAAAAAAAAAAAAAAAAAATGGATGGGGATGTTAGAAAGGATAAAAATAAAATATTTGCAAGCCTGAAATACCAATCTTTAGAGCTGTTTGGTTTAATTATGCAACAATTCATAACTGCCAGAAATTTAGCAGTTTCGTAAAAAGCAGCAGATGAAGAATAAGGAAAAAACTTTGCCGTATATTAGTAAAGAGCTTTGCATATATTACTCCGAATAAAAGCAGAATTTTTCAAAAAAAAGTGATTACTCAAATCTGATGGCTTCATTCCAAACAGTACCAAAACTAATATACAAAAAATTTTCCCAAAGACTATTATTGCAGAAATTATTGTACCTCTACTCTATATCTTTTTGAAGTGCAGAAATCAAAAAGTGGAATGGGCAGAAAAACATTCAGACTGAGATAAATTTTAGGATAGTAAAAAGATAGATTATGATATATGCTATAGGACTGTATCATCTTCCTCTGTTTGTTCAATGACGCAATCGTTCAATTTAATTCGGAGTGGTTTTGCCCTTGGGTCCTAAAAAAAGTAAACAATTCCAACATTTAGTTAGGTTATTTTTTCATAAAACTAAGTCTTATACAACTCTGATAATGTTCATAAAATTCATATATTTACTTTAAGAACCTGCAAGCTTCCTAAAACTTCTGACAATTTATCAGTAATAAAGGATTAAATGAAAATGATAATGAAAATGGCAGATAACAATTTAATGTTGACAAAAGCAGCAGCCAGAAAACTACCACAACTTTAATTACTGTTCCTAGAAATGCTGAAATTATAACAGCTATAATTAAACTAACTCCAATAGTAATCTGTGTATCCATCAAATTAATTTTCAAATTCAATGGAACACTAGTTTTTTGATTATCACATATGAAAGCAGAAAGATGCACTAAAATAATATCATCAAGTGTTGCTCGAAATCCCTCAATCTGCATCTGAAAAATCATCTTGAAATTGTCACGAATATTAGATATTTCAACAAAGCCTATCTTCTAACATCAAAGATACCATACTACGCACACAAATGCATGCCTACAACCACTGAATCTTAATTCACCTTGCTACAAAGATATTAAAGTTAAAAATTATGAGATTTGTACACTTCATTCACTCTTCAACCGCAATAAACTCACTGTTTTGAGAGAAATGATTTGGAATACGTAATGAAATTTCCAAATTTGAGGTTTCATATTGAAAACACTTACTTTAAGAAAAAAGATGTCATAAGAATCTGATGAACAATAAAAAAAAGTTTTTAGAAATTTGAAAAAGAAAATTTTCAGAAAAAAAGACTAACTTTTATCGACAGAGGTTGTCTATCAGATGAGCTAAATTGAAAATTAACGGTAGTTTTATCATTACCGTTATTCATCTCAATATTTCTATTGAGATCGCATCCTTGATTATTTATTGCAGTATAAATGTCACCCAGTTCCCTATTCAAAGACTGCTGAACCATAATCCTGCAATTGGAAGCATAGGAACTCAACGGTGCAGTATTCATTCGTGTACATGCTCAATACCATAATCATCAATATACTCAGTGAGATCATCTTTAATGAAATTATAATAAAAAGTTTGTTAATGCCAAAATAACGTTGTTAAAATATTCATAAGACTTTTCAGTTTAATATCGTACATACTAACTTGAAAAAGAAACAAAGTGAGATAATTATGTTAATTCGCCTTTTTCACTTAACTAATTTCCCTAGTTCTTTAACTAATTATACCTTGCTCATCCGTTTCTAAATCCTAAATAACAAAATACAGTGGTATCAGCGGTAGTTAAGATATCCATCATCAGTTTGAAACACTTAGCGATTAAGAAAACGTTTGAACTGTCCTTCATGATTTAATTATCGGATGAGAAAAATCTGCAAAACTCACTTTCTAATGTAACCAGCTCCCTGTGAAGCATTATTGAGGGATGATATCACCACATTCAAGTCGTTCATTATTGCAGAAACAACGTTCACCTACAAACCAATCCAAAAAACCTCATCCAAAAACTCCTAATTATCTGTTTTCTAATTACATTCAGTGGCTAATGTTGAGATTAAAGATTCATACTGCATTAAAGTTTATAAAATTCCATTTCCAAATATTCGAATTTGAACTCTAACAATGGGTCATGAAATTACAACCTGTTGTTTCAATTCTTTAGGCAACTTCTTCGGTTTCGATATTACTTCATCAGCAAAGGCTTCTTCACCAATAACAACTTCTTCACAGAGAAAAAGATTAAATCTTAATAATCAGAAAAAAAAAAATACATACAGCAGTTTTCTAATCTGACCGTAGTTTCTTCTAACATCGGAATAACAGTTCCTTACTTCTTTATACTTTTAGAGTAATATTAATAACTTTCAGCAACAATTTAGAATCATGTAGAAGTAAATTTAGAGTACGCAGTACGAAACAGTTCTTATAATCTTGCAAAAAATCCATTTTCCAAACAAACGCTGATAATAATTACAAATGGGCACTCAAAGGATTGATACCAAGACAGAAAACGTGACCCAATATTCCTAACTATTCTTAGCATCACTAAGATTTGTAATATTTTATTAGCACTCAATTTTCTAAGTAAAATAAAAGCTTACCTTCAGTAAAAATGTCATCTTCAACATCGAACAGCATTAACTGTTGTTCTTCCGAAATATTTGTTGCAACCGACATTATTTCATCTTCTGCATCGACTAATTCTGCAAGATGAGTAAGTTTCTCTTCTGGAATTTTGTTTCATTTTTAAAAAGCAAATTATTCTAACCTGTGAGGAAGACGAAAAGTAAAATTGAAGACTTATAATATTATTACTACAATCGGTATACTTTACGCTTTCGATAGTTTTGGATAATTCTAAAGAATTATCGTCCTTTGGAGTTAGACCACTATTTTTTATTTCCATAAAACCAAAAAAAAAAAAAATGGAAACAACAAACAAATGAAACACAAATAGAACCGTTATCTATTTGCTGTGAAAATTCCGAAAATCCTTCCAGAACATCATTGTGGAACACTACTGTTTCACTTGCAACAGTCATTTCCTGCTCTGGTATATAGCCGGTTGGTGTCAAACATGCTGGATGTAATCTTTCGTTTGTATCTGCAATTATCTGTTAACAATGATCCAATACACCCACAAACAAAAACCAAATTTGCAAAATTCAAATGATTATTAAAGTAATACTCATAATTCACATTTTATACTTTCGAGCATTTGAACAAAATAATGTTACCTACAGGATACCAAAAAACAAATCAAAGAAATTCCGGATTAAGATTAAGCTAATGCTATCAAATTTAACGACAGTGAGCTTGAAAGCATTTTAGCATAAGTGAATCAAATGAAATGGAATCACCTAATTATAAAAACTGAAAAAAAAAAAAAAAAAAAAAAAAAAACTAAAATTGTAATATGCTCTACACTAATATGTTCAAACTATCACTAAAACACTAAAAAAAAAAAAATCTGACCCGTTCCTTTCACACAATCTAAAACGCTCCAAACATAGACATGCAATCTTCTGATTAAGGAAACCTTAATGAAATTCCGAAAGCGGAATCAAGTCATCCCTACCACTTTATCAATTATTCATAAGTTCAATGGTAAATCTACATAAATTTTAGGTCAACTTTAAAGGTAAGCGTAAAGCTTCAGCAGAATGAGTAAAACAGCAAACATTTAGTAATCTGTAGGTTTATAGCGCATTTGAACCTATAAATTAAACGGGATCTGTTTTAAAGTTGGCATTGCAGATGTTTTATCACAGAAGTTGCACTATGATAAGCTGGTTCTTAAACATAAGATTCCTTCCTTCGTTTTATTTCTCAATATCAGTAAATTCCATTTTCTGCAGATGAACTGAAAGCTTTCCTGATACTAAATTTACAGAATTGTAAAACTACGTTACTCATTACAAATTTGGTCCATCCCTTTTTAATGATCTGCAAAGTTTAAAAACTTGAATTACAAGTTCTTTCAATCTTCACTTCAGTTTTGATAGTGCTCGATACTGCTTAGGTCAGCGGAATAGCGCTACTTTTAGTTTAACATATAATAAAAGGAAGCTAAACGATTACTTTGAGTACTGCTCGTTCAACTTAACCGTATCTGATGATCATTCATTCCATCTAAATTTTATAAGGACTACTCATGGTAAAAAAGGAATAAAACGATAAGATACTTGAAAAAAGAAAACTCCAGCCACAATTCTCATAAAATTCACTATTATTACACATCGAAATATCTGCATAAAATGTAACAATTTTGAAAATGAATATTACTGCAATTTTCACGAAGCCATTAACTGAAAGATTTCAAAGAAAATGTAGAAATTAATTTTTTGACTGATATCACTTCCGTCCTATGTTGTACATGAATTTGTAAATTCAAATATCACTGAGCACGCTTTTTAAAAGTTATCGTTCTCACTTTACTACTACGCAGTTATTTTTATACTTCTTTAGCTGAATTGAAACAAACGAATAAGAAAAAAATTAATATGGAATAAAATAATGCAGAAAATAAAGTCATTTAAACATTTAAAATATGAATTTTGACTCCCTTTTTTTCTCAAAGGATTGGTAAAACTCCTTTGAAGTGACAATTTTTTCGTAACAGCCAGTATTTACAATCGGACTACATACGGTACAATTTTATTGTCCAGATATAAGGCTAGTAAGTGGAGAACATGTCTAAATGTGAAAGTAAACTTTTCTAGAGCAGTTGATTATGAATAAGGGTGACATAAGTTGACAGGTTTGTAGAGTGGTTTGCATAACGACCGTTAAAAATGTTGTAGAATAAAAGTGTGTGAAGTGCAGACACGATCACACTAATATTCTTTTCAAAAACTGTGGTAATGAATTTGATCTGTGATGATATCAGGAAGTAAGCATTGACAGCAATTACTCTGTCCATTTGTCTTGCATTGATTATTTGTTATATAAAACTACCATTTCTGAGGTTAAGTGTCCATGTGGAAAATAAACGAAGAAAAGAAAGGCAAAAGTAGGACACAAACCAAAAATTGGTGTCACAAATATGACCTGACCAAATGATGGATACCATCCCGAAAATCCTCTTCCCCGTGTGCACACATAAAAGAAGTGAATACATTTCAACCTTTAGTGTCAACAGTAGATAGTAGAACAGCAGATTGTTAAAATGTTTCGCATCGGTAAACTTAATCTTTCTATGTGTTTGTTTATCTACAATTTAAAATTAGATTAACTTTTGCAAAATTGTAAAATGATCTATCACTGCCCACTTAACAGTATTTTTGCATAATCTTAGTAAAGTAGCAATGAACAGCTTCCGCACTTGACAATCCGATACAACAAACGTCAAAACGATTGGGCGGAGAAATGGGTTTATACGCAAGAATCAGAACAGTTATTATAGTATCAGATGCATGCGTCGAAAGGGGGAAGAAGGAGAGTAGGTTATTGACATGGCTAAAGGCGATTAATACCTCTGCGGTCGTTGGGAGCCAATAAGGGAGGGAGCTGACCCGGTGACCTAAATTATCGAGTCCCTTCTCACAAAGAACTAGTAACGGGTACTTACTCTGACAACAGGTACTGAGTACCGAACCCACTGACTTCCATCTACCTCTTTCTTTGAGCTTTGCTTACCTTATTTATTTATATAGCATTAGCTAGAAAAGTAACATCCTCACAGTTCTGAATTCTTATCTATAAATTTTCTGCATTCTTGATTCGTCTTGAGAAGTGATTTCAAATTCACTGTCAGACATCACACAGAAATCTCAGACAGCACAAATACAATTTTCGAAAATTAAAATCATTTTTAACCCTGTTGCTCTATCCACAACATCAATACATTTCAATTCCATCTGTTCCAGATCCTATCAGCTACTGATGACGTCATACCTGACAAAAATTTTTTAGCAATATAACATGAAATTTGTTGGAATTTAATAACTTTTCTCTTCAGTTATTCGTCAAGAAATTAAAGCAAGCACAACTCGTTCATATCTCTGGAATAATACAGGTAATACCTCAAACCGAACTTGATTGCTACCGCGAATGCTTGCTGTACTAACTTCCTTAACTTCCTTCAGTTTAAGTATTAACTAAGTTATGCATACCTGAAGCAAGATGCATTTAAATATGAACAAATATGCAAAATGAGCAGTACTGAAAAATGTATAATCTGTGTCACTGGAATACACCTTTCCTGTCAACAGAAGTGGGTTGCATACCATGCGATGCAATTATTCTTTTCTTTTATTTTAGATAAATTTTGAAGGTCGAAATAGCGACAAAGGAGTTTCAGTATCACTTTTAAATCAATTTTCCAGTCATTATATCATTTGGAAATATCTGTATCGAAAATTCTGGAATTCTGTGCTACTCAGGCGCGCTTATTATGTGAAGGATCTTCTGGATTCTTGATCCCACGAATTATATTACTATTTAACGGTATAATCCATGTTACCTAATTCTTCTGTTTCATCTATTTTTCGAAATGGCTCGACTAAGAACTTTATTAATCTATCGAACAATTGCAGTAAGATGATAACTTATTTGGAATTGACCATATGGTAGTGTGGCAACGACCGACAGTTCAATTTCTTGTACCTCAATATTGACTTTTTTTAAAGTTTCTATTTCAAACTGATATGATTATTTCTCCACCAAAGTTAGTACTGCTGACCATTTGCGCAAATTACGTGATAGCATTCTGCCCAAGCCTTCATTCATGCACTTGTGATGATAAATCTGATGGTTATTATATCAGTTGTAAAGGTCCTACCAACACCTCCCTTTCCGATATTATACAATCACTAGGTAGACGGCAAGTGCAAAGGCTTACGATTACTAATACTTCATGGCCGGTGAGCTCTTTCTAGACTTGTTTTAGAATATAAAAAACCATTTCTCTTAATATTCAGAAAAATCAAAAATTCAGTCGTATCATAGGCTTTAAAAATCAACATTTCAGCTTTCATAAAAACTTCTGGTTTCTAAAGTTTGTTATGAATTATTCAGTAAAACTCGGATAGAACTCAGAATTTAGGAAAAGTTCAAAAAGTCGAAAAAAATTACACTCGTCTCTTTATGCATTTTCATACAAACTATTTTTAAGCAAGTAACTATCCTTCAGACTTAAAATTTTAGAAAAAGAAAAGAAAACATAACTTGAGGTGAGTTAGAATAGTGAACTAAAATACTACACTTTGTTTTTCATAAAATAAAATTCCAGATACATCAATACAACGATGAACTCTTCCTACTCTATAAATTTAAAATTTCCAATTCAGGTGCTCGAAGAATTGCCATTAGCCAGTATACGGTCTCTTCAGTTGATCTCGTGTGGTATCAAGAAAATTACGGATACAACGTTCGCCAAATTAGCAGATAATTTGGAACATTTAACAATTACCGAAAATATGCTCACAACTGCGACAGTGCTTAGTTCCTTGCCAAAGTTAATTTCGCTCAATCTCAATTATAATCAGGTAGACTATAGTTCAAAAATATTCACGGCAATTTGGTTAGAAATTTCGAAATTAAAAAAAAAAAAAGTTTCAGTTAACAGATTTACCAGATAATGTATTCAAAAGTACCAAAAATCTACGACATTTACTCCTTAAGGGAAACAAAATTTGCTCACTCTCGAGGTTAGTTCCAATTTTTTTATTTTTCTCACATTAGTGGTCATATTTATAGTGAATGGTAGTTGTTATATTAGCACATATTTTTTGGGCTCATAAAATTATAAGTTCTCAACGAGTACCCTTTTTTAACCGACCTTATTTTGGAATTTATGATGAAAACCAGTTTAGGAACAGGTTTTCGTAAAATCGACTACAGCATTATGTAGGATGAGTTTTTATGGACTAGGTTAATTTTAATGAGTATATGATATGGCTGATGATAATATTATCTATTAAAGTTGCGGCAAATGAGATATAGATGGCCTTGAACTAATTTTATTTAAGAATATATTGACCAGTAACAACAAGGCGAATAACGAGATGGAAATTGGAAGTCAACTACTAATAGAAGAAAATTAGGGGTGTAGAGAGGATTTTTGTGAGTCCATAATCTTTAGTTCCTTCAATCCCGACCTATCCCTCTCCTCTTTCCGCATTTTTTTTCGTTTTCTTCAACGATTGATGTAATAAACTGAGTATAAATACAGATAACAAAAGCCTTGATATTTGCTGGAGTTGTTTAGGGGATAATCACAGTGAATACTTTAGTAATTCATTATTCGATATCAAGAACATACTGGAATTACTGGATTTGAGTGACAACTGTCTCAGTGATATACCAGCACAGAACCTAAGGAATTGTATCCGGCTAATGTATTTGGATTTATCCCATAACGCTATAAAGAAAATTGCTAACTTTGAACTTATGAATCTACCATTACTTAAGGTAAAATATCATAACTCAAATTGGTATTGTCTTTAAAACACTTGAAATAGCTAGTTCCTCTCTATTTTGAGGATGGGATTCTACTAATAACATATAAAGCAATTAATCGACTTCTATTGAGAGCATGATCTTTCATTCTCTTCAATGATATATATAAAAAATACTCTGCAATTGATTTATGAGCATTTCTGTCACAAAAGTATTTCGGAAATTTTAGAATTTGAAGACCACTCCAAAAGGAATCCTATAAAATGCATTTTTTTAATAATACATTTGCCAGCATTTGAAAACTGAAAGAACGAAAAAGGAATGAGGTCAATACATACTTACCCATCATAAAATACCAGTTGATCACCCTAATTTGTTCAACTAAAATGAAAAATGAGCGGGTTTTGAAATTTCCAAATGAATATTTTATATAAGTAATTGCCTTATGTCAAATAAAGAAGAAAAGAAACAAAAAGACATATGTGTTTCTGCATTATTATTACTGGTCTTATTTTCCATGAACTAGACCTAAATTCAGCTTAACTATTGCTTATTTCCTTTTCAGGAACTACGAATAAATAACAACCAAATAAATTACATAGCACCGATGGCATTCATGAATGTACCACTTTTGGAACATCTTTATTTAAGGAATAATCTAATTTCTTCTATTCAAACGGAACGTCTTTTTCAAGTCTTCAAAAATCTTGAAGTTTTAGATCTGTCTGAAAATATGCTCACTAAGGTCAAGTTTCACTTGATGCAGATATGCATGTGAGTAAAAAAATGATTTTAACAGAAAAATTGAAAGTTTGGAACTTGATATGTGAATTTATGCATTACCAACATTTCCATTATACTCAATAAAATAGAATGAAATTTATAAGCAGCAACTCCATTGATATTTCAGGTACCATCATTAAAAGAATTATCTAATCTGCGACAAATTCATCTCAGGCACAATAAAATCTCAAGGATAGAAACGCTTGCATTTAGTTCCAACAGAAAGCTTCAACTCATCAGCTTACAGGTTCATTAATTATTTCTAAAAAGTAGTTTTTTAAGATTTCGTGGATTACGTTTACCACAGTGGAATAACATCGTAATGACAGCTAATTAAAGTCGCTTTTGTAGAACAACAAAATTACAACGATGTCACGGAACAGTTTCGACTCACTGGATGAACTCGTCGTCCTTAACTTAGCTAATAATGATATCAAGAAGATCGGTAAGAAATAGCATTTAGAGGATCATCTGAAGATATCGGGAGGCACAGCTTTGTTTTCTATTATCAATGTTAAGAGTAAATCGATGAACTTCTTTTTCAGAACGAGTAATGCTTGATGGGATGCGAAATCTTCAACAACTTAATTTACGAAATAATTCCCTTACTGTATTGGAAAATGCAACATTTACATCAGTTTCAAAGATAACAACCCTTGATCTGGCGCATAATAGTATCCAAACAATTGAAAAGAATGTCTTCACACCCCTTAAAGATATATTCTGGCTTGATCTGTCATCTAATCTTATCAAAACAATAGAACAAGATACCTTCAAAGAAAAAATAGCAAACATTTTGCTAAATGGTATGTTTAATATAATGGCAATTATTAATAATAATAATAATAAAATAGTAACAAAAATAAATACATATAAATAGTAATAAATAATAAATAATAATCATAATAATAAATAAATAATAATAACTTTTCAGACTCAAATCGAAACTTATATTTTCATAAATTGGGAAATTTCCTAGTTATTTAAAAAAAATCTTTCTCTTAATATTTTCTACCGGAGGTAAATTTAAGACAATCCACTTCACTGTGATGAAAAACTGAATTGGTTGGTTAACTATTTGGTGGCAAATCAGGTACGAACTTTTTTACCCTATCAAACTGAGGTACTGTGTGCTGGACCGGAAAAATACACCGGTGTTCGACTGAAAGAACTGATGATTGCGAAAGCCAATGAAACAATGGACAAAGCAAGGAATAATTTTTATGAGAATGGCCAACGTGATGTAGGTAAGTAAAATTGAAAAGAACTTTGAGGAACAATGCTAGTATGCATTAAATTTTTTACAATAAACTTTGGTAATAACATGAGCAAATTATAAATTTACCTTCTGCAACTTATGATTTGCTTCCCAATTTAGCACTTACGCAACCGATTATTGGTGCTCTCACTGAAGCTATACCTTCAATCCAAAATATCCCTGGTATCAATTACTTACCCAAAGCAAATGAGGAACGCACTATCGATGTTCGAAAATTTAACAGTGTTATTGAACAAGTGAACTTTTTACCTTACCTAGAATTACTTTAAACGCTATTAATAAGACCTAATATACATTAGATTGATATGAGTCAAAGTTCTGCATTTCGCAGTAAAAAGTTTTTAGCTTTCTTCACCACTCATTCCTGTCACAACTGGGAAACAACCGGCATCAGTGGATATTGAACAATTTATCCAAACTATTCCGAATCTTGTTGTTAACATACCCGGCATGGGCGATGTCGACATAAGCAAGGTGAATATTTTTCTACGGATGAATGAAAATGTAATTCTTATTTTCAAATTCGCATTTTACTACAGCATTTTTCGCGATCATAATTTATCAAGTAATAGCATATTCAAGATTTCATTTGTGAATTTAGGACTGGATAACGAAGTGAAAAAAGTATTTCAAGACAAAAGGATGTAAAATTTTTAGCTTCCACCAGGCGTAATTACACATGTCTTGCGAGGTGGACAAATTCCGGGCTTACTTCCGGAAACTTTGGACAAAGTTACAAAGGAATACTTCAAACGTATGTATGCAGCAGCAGAGACGGCTAAACGAGGAGGACTTGTGATCGCTGAATCCCGTAATTTAGCACCATCGGAAACGCTACCGCAGTCATTTACAACCCATGTAATACAAGCAACCGCTATACCACAACCTGACCGACGACAAACACAAAGTATACGGGTGAGAATTATATGCCTGCTGCCAAAACTCAAACAGTTAAGAATATTTCCCATCGCTTTTTTGGTCATTAACAAGTCTTATACAACTGGTTAATTTTATGCTTATCATAAACAGTATGAGGGTATTTTTCCGTGCATTTTTCAAATCTAAAGAAACTAAATCCCGTTAGTTCTTTTCAAAAATTTCAAGATACAGGTGGCTATGAGCAGTATTCCAAACCAGTTTAAAAACTTGTCAACGGAAAAATCCAGAGGTTTACCATCAACAATAATCGAAGTAATGAGAATGCTGCCAACTGGTTATAATATCAGTAAGATACCAAAACCGGTGCTTGATGCCCTATTCCGCGGCGAAGTACCCGATTTTACACTCCTTCCCAGTGAACTTCAACAGCATCTTCTCACAGATGGACACAGATTAATTGCTGCGTTGTCAACCCATGTAAGTTTCTATGGTAATTATTAAGCTAAATAGCTTAATTATGAAATCAGTCTGAAACCTGTTCAGTAACATAAATTATTTTAACAGAATTGATAAACTCCATTAAGACCATTCTCAATTATTAGTCGATAATTCCTGAATCAATCCCAGCAATTGATAACCTTTATATCATTTTGCTTCATAACAGCATTGCTAATCGTAGTTTCATTTTCAAGGCTAATAAAACAGTGGAAGAAATACTACACAATTTGCCGACATTTAAACGTCCAATAAAACCTACCTTCATTCCATACGATATCAATGAAGTGACTAACGATCTTACCCAAACTAAACAACGAGCTGAGAAATTGGTTCGGGTCCAATATTACACTGCTTTATTACTTGGTTTGTTCCAAGACAACTTAAATTCTTCCACTGTATGAAAAAGTAATCGATAGCAGTAGAGACTGTAGGCAAATCTCTTTATACATGATTTTAGTTCAAAGACATAAAAAAAATAAGCAAAAATGTTAGATGTTTAACTGACTTAAAAATTAATTTAAAATTCTCCCCTCCAAACAAAACATAATTTCAGGTTTTGTTGGAGCAATTTCTATAGCAGTCTTGAGTTTAATATGTGTATATATGAAAAAAAAACGCCTGGGAGATCCAGAACTAAACATCGATGAAGATTCTTTAGTAAATCCAAGTCAAATGCCACAAACACAACAGTCAGTCACAAGTGGATCAAAGATAGATACTCCTTTTACAAAACATCATAAATACCTTTCAGGAAGCTCTCACATGTCCAAAATTTATAAATGAATTGAATTTTAAATTAATTTATTTTATGATAGAGAGAGTCATCACTAGTCCTTACTTCTGTTTCTAAATGTTGCATTACGGTAGCAATTGATTGGCATTTTTATTTTAAAAAACGAAACGTGTAATCATTTGTTATGTATTCAACTTTGTATCAAAATATGTAAATTTTGTGCAAAAGTTAATTTAGTGCCCTTTTTAACTGTACTCTAGTCTATGCTTTTGTTTTTGTAAATCTTGTTCCACTGTACACTATTCTTTGTTTGTTTTGCAACTGTAAATTAAGTCATTTCTTTATTCCCTCTTCAGCTTACATTCAGAGAATACACTAGCACTATTTTTGCTACCCTAGTTAAACAAATTCAGCATACGAGATCCACATTACTCTTCGGAATCACAAGTGGTTCTTCTGAGGGAAAATAGTTTCAAATCTTGGTAAAACTTATAATTTCATTCTTGTTGATCCCACTCTGTTTATGAAATCATGATTCTCAGTGATTACAAAAGATTCAGAAAGAATTCTTCAATTAATGCTGTTACAAATTTTTAAATTCATTTTTGTAAAGCTTTCAGTACTATGCTGAATTGTCTGGCTCTTAAAGTTACAAATTCCAAGTGGGTGGGAAACTGAAAACTGTCACAACGTGGCACTAAACATAGAAACCTTGATATGGATGCACACATCAGTAAGTGTTTGCCGTATTTCCCAACTTGTATAACATGACAAGATACTAAAATTTTTTAACGCATGCAATGGGTAACAAAAAAAAGAAAGGAAATTATATGGTTTGGCATTGCGATAAACACGACGTAACAGTTTTTGGAATTCGAAGACGTTTAGTGCCACAAATTCAAAAATCCCGAAATGACTGATCATATCAGCTCGATTCGGTCTATTTTCAGTTAAAACAATCATATCTGTAATCAAGAAACAATCATAAAGTACACAGTTTTGATACGAAGTGTAATTCCCTTTTCTTTCATTTGAACTAATATTAGTGAACCACCACAGGTTCCACTTGAATCAAAATTGCTTGAAAAGTATGGAAAAAGATCTGAAAGACCTAATTTTGAATGATACTTCGTACGTATGCCAAGTTTGGCAGACGTTTTGCTATGAAATACCAAAAGATTAACATAACTTCAAGCCACTCATCACAGTGCTTAAAAATGGTAAGTAATCCGGAACTCATGACCTTGACAAGAGACGCTCCATAAACGCAATTTTTTATTTCTTGCCAATTTTGGGGAAAATAATACTGTCAAATAACTTTTTCCCATAGCACGAATCCAGGATAACAATACAACAACCATAGCTATCAAAAAGAGCAGAGGAAGGAAATTATTTTTTCAATTCTTTGAATAAACTTTGGAGTTTAAGAACTATGCAATGAAAATTCAATATTCAGTGAGTCTAAAACCTCAGCTGAAATCGTTGTCATGAAAGGAGTAAAAATAAATATCCATGTTTATTTCTCCTCTATTTTTTAAACTTTATTTTATACAATCCTTTTCATTTTCCTTTTTGATTTTTTGTATTTAATTAAAAATAATTTCTCGCCTCAAAAAAGTAAACAGTTTCTGTCAACTGGTAATGAATATGGATGTTTAAACTTCAAAGTTAGCTTATTAGAAAAAGACTTGACCGTTTCCTGCTTTCAAAGTTAACAATTTTTTTTTTGCAATTAGAACTTTTCAAAATCTTCCTAATTCCAAGTCCAAAAACTTCACCAAAAAAAAAACTACCATTAGAGAATTCGAGAGATACTGCAATTGGATTTTCTGCCGTACATTACCGAGGAGACCTACAGGTGCATATATAAAAACATTGTAAGCGTGACCTTCTCTATAAGAGTGACCGCCTAATACAAATGCGACACGCTTCAATAAACTTTATGGATATTAAAACCGGAATGTGTTGTAAGTGAATGTTGCAGACTTTTTTTATGATTAATGCTTCATTCACAGAGATCAATTTCAAAAGGGACGGAAAGAGCTGACAAGTAGTTGAACTGTTTGACGACCTAAAAAGGGAAATTAGGAGTGTCTTTGATTTTGTTACAGGGAAGAAGGGAGATAACGGTGCATAAGAGGGAGAAGGAACGGATGAAAGGTGTGGTAGGAGGGTAGGGAGATGGCTAGTAAGATGCATCCATTCATCGTCGACCTTGCTTGCGCATGAATTTGGCCGATCGAGATGAGAAAGGTCCCCCCCGCTCCGTTTCCATCTAACCATTTGGTATGCTGAGCTGCTCTCCGGTGTCTACAGGTGCCGACTGGGCATGAGAATTTAACAACGACCCCTCCCTTTCCAATCAGCGACCATTATCTGTATCTGACAATTTTCGAGCCACTCAACCTCTATCCACTCCGATCGTCATCACAGATATATCACACAAATAACACAACTATTATTTATCCGTAACTGCTGCTACTATTACTGCAACTGCTATTGTGTATTCCTGTCATTACCACTAGCACATGTACTAATATTGGTGAAACATATGTCTCTTCCTTACCCGAATTCTCAAATTACTCCTCGATATTCTATTTCGGAAGAACAACTTATCTCACAACCCACCAAAGTCACTTCGACACCGAAATTAACATGCAGTAATGTTACAGCTTTACACCCGTGTAGACAGCGTGTAGAAACATGGCCGTTTGTAACGTGCGCCAACACCTATTCCGATAATCACGAAGAAGGAAGCGGGACTTGTAACTACAGCATAGAGGAAAAAGGCATGGGAATAAATAGTAGTAGATATAATGCAGCAATGGAAATGTGCTACGACAACGAAATTGATGACGTTCGTGGTATTTGTGATGAAGACAACAGTAATAAAAGCTACCACAACGATGACAAAAGTGTAGATAGCACGCAAGAATGGCGTAGAATCAGAATTTGTGAAAATGAACGACGACGACAACGACGAAAATTTACGGGATACAAGAAAAGACAATGGTTGGTGAAAAGTGATACAATTACTCAATTTATTGAAACTTTTGTCCTATTTGTTAGCATTATGCAAACTTCACTGGCTTGTCCTGAAATTATCAAATCGCTATGTCGTTGTGATGATTCGCAGAACGGTATAATCCTGAAATGCTCACATACTGATGGATCCCAAGTTGTCTACATGTTGAAAGCTAATCAAATCAACTTGGGTTTGATTCAACAGTTAGAAATGCAAAATTGTGGGTTGAAACATATTCCTGCTGGATTTTTTTCCGGATTATTCATCAAGAAACTGGATTTGTCATACAACAGTATTGTAGATATCGATGAAAACAGCTTCCTGGGAATGAACGATATTTTACAGGAACTTATATTACATCATAACAATTTAACACAGTTACCATCTAAAGCACTAACACCACTATCAGCACTTTTACGGCTCAACTTGTCCAACAATTCAATTGGTGACATTGAAGCGGAGCATGCCCTTCCACCATTATCAAAGGTTCATCTTTAATTATTATACTTAATACAACATATTACCTCTCTTACAAATTCCAAAGAAGGAAGCAACGTGCTTATATCTGAACGATACAGATAACGTATTCTACAGCTAAAATCCTGAAAGATAAGTACACCTTTAACATGCATAATTCTTTTTCACTTTATCTTAAGTTCTTACGATTTAAAGTTGAAAGTTCTCCTAACAGTTATTTAACTGAAACCAAATGTATTATGAAAAAAAATGACATTTTCTATACACGTTTAACTGGTTGATCGACCTACCATTGCTATGCTATTACAACTATATCACTATTATCATCACAGCTATATGAGTTCCATCAATCGAGTTGAAGAATATAAGAAATGGACCAAATGGAGAGAATTACCGATCTGTCTCTATAAAAACTTTAAGAAAATTGATCTAAGAGTCAAAATTTATATATTTCTTCCTTCAACACAAGAAAATTCATGTCAAAATAGTCACAATATATGAAATATATTGAATATGTGAACTATACTGAAAAATATTTTTTTCAATATATGAAAGAAAAAAGGAAAAATAATTTGCAGCTATACGATATTAGCTTAGCGAACAATCGTATATGCCAGATACATAAGAGCGCATTTGATGGTGTTAAACATAGTATACAGACGATTAACCTTGGCAGGAATTGTTTGAAGAAAGTGCCAGCGTCAGGTAAACTTCTCGTGTTATAATTACTGTCTGGAATTAGCTTCAACTTGCGTCCTATGCATCACAGTCAAACTGGAAGTTATTAAACATGCTGATTCTTCAAATCTCTTTGTTCATTCAATTCATCAAATATTCGCCTGTTTGTTATTTTACCAAAGTTGCTAGAAATATGTGTTACTAAGTGGAATTTATTTATTTACTAAATTTAATAATGAAAAGTTGGCTAAAATTTCCATCCAAATTTTGGACAACTACAGAAAAGTTCCCGTTTTTTATTTATAGCAGTTCGAGGATTCAAACAATTAATGGCATTGCACTTGCACAACAACAACATCAGCGCACTGGAAGCACTGTCATTTATGAACTTACCATTAATTAATTTGCTGAATTTGGCATCAAATCAAATCACAACCATTCATAATCGAGCATTCCTCAATGTACCCAACTTGCGATACCTCTACTTGACCCGAAATCGAATTACTAATGTCAGTTATTAGTTCCTTTACTTTTTCGCCTTTCATTTTCAGTTACCGTTTATAAATTTTGAATCACACACAGCAATTACAAAACACTATTTTTCCACCTTCCCTTCCTCTCTTCTCCTTAACACTCTTTAGAATGTATTTTTAATTAGTCTAGGCAGTAATGAATGAATTTTAAGTATCCGCAATATTATCTTTCACTGTTATCTAATATTAATTTTTTGGTTCAGCAAATATATCAAATGGAATAATTTGAAATTATTTTCGAAAACAAAAGATTGATTTAAATCTGGTTTCAGATCTCGCCACACCTTTTCGGTTCATTCGAACAGCTCGAAATGCTTGACTTGACTGGAAACCACCTGGCTGAACTACAGGAAAATTCATTTTCAAATTTGAAAAATTTACGACAACTATACCTAGGTGAAAATCATATCGAGAAAATAAGACCGGGTAGTTTCATAAATAGCTCAGTGGTTATCCTAATTTTGAATTCAAACCGTCTCGAGAAACTTCAAGAAGGAATGTTTGATGGATTAACTAAATTGCAACAATTGGCTCTTAAGGATAACCGGGTTTGTTTTCTACACTAAGACAAAAATTATATTAGTTATTCTTCATTAAAAAAAATTATAATAGTTATTGGTCATTAGTTGCTTATAGGTGTTACATTATCACAACTCAAGTCAGAATTCCACTATGAAGTACACTGCTTCTCAGTCTTATTTGATTTTAACCCACTGAGAAAAAAATCGAGGAAAAAGACAACATTTTGACATACATGTCAAAATAATTTACATATACCGGTAAATGTCCGATTTCAATCCATGTCAAGATCTTTTTTGATTTGTTTTCAAAAAAAAAAAAAAGAAAGAAAAAGATTCTGAACCCGTAATTACAAATTTCAAGGAACTGAAAACAAAAAACATGTTGAATTCCTTTCTACGATGACCAAACGAACAGTTGACGGTATTAAGTAATGCAGGTAATCCATGTGCCAAAAACCCAGTTTTCAAAATTTTCTTTTTTTACATAATTACCTGATATCCAGAAAAAAAATTTTTTATACACTAAAATTGTCTTCAGAAAGGAGGGGATTTACAGTTTGTAAGAATGAACATCAGAATCCAAAAGGTTACAACAAGTTTCTGTATATCTTCATCGTTCAGAAATATCTTTCCAAATAATAATGAGGCTAATGAATAGCACATAGTCTAACAAAAAAAAAAACCTGGTAAATAAGTATTTTCAGATCCACTCCATCGATCAAAATAGTTTTTATTCCAATCAAGGTTTGGCAATGCTTGACTTAAGTAATAATAAACTGGTAGATATACCACCTTCAACATTTCTGGCTCAAATTAATCTATTTCTTATCGATCTAAGCGGTAATAAATTGGAACGTACACCCTACGAAGCATTTAGAAGACAAGTGAAAGTAGTACTTTTACAAGGTTAGTACTTACAGTTGCTGGATTTAGTAGACAGTTTACATACTTTTAATTAAGTTGAAACTATTTGATAAGAATTCACTGCAAAATGGTATATACTCTTTTGATAAAAAGTAAAATGAGGTCAATAAAATTTAATTGTAGAAAATCCTTTGGTTTGTTCGGAAGGAGTGCATATGCTACAGCAAGGTGTAGGAATCTACATAGCAAGCAGTGAAGACGTCATCTGTGGACTACATAAGAATCCTAACCCAAATAGCGTTGGCATAACTGATGCTACATATACGCCACCGACTTCCACCTATTTTATAATGAATAATGGAAAAGATGGCAATTTTAAACATGAAGAGCTTTTGCTAACTAAATCTCCACCAATCATTCGTCCACTATCCAGCATCGATAATGAAGTTCGTCTTATTTCAATTATTTCAGACTTTTCAAAATTCGTTGAAACTTTGAACATACACAGAAGAAAAAGTGTTTATGGAACGATTTTCCTTAAATTTATTTGTAAAAGTCAAAATACACTTTATAATTTAAGGCAAACAAACCAGAAACTAGTGTTCGCGAACAAGAAAAGACCCGTACAAATGAAGTGATTCCAGTAAGACCTGTTAATGCATCTGTAAACATACAACCCAATTTACCTCTACAGTCATCAGAAATGTTCAGCACTGAGCAACTGATGAATGCTGTGGAAAGTCGAGTAATCACAATTCCTAAATCTCGGAAATCCGGCACGGGAAGATATGAAGAAAAAGTGTCGAATTACAAGGAAATGCGTACCGGAGGCAGAAGTTATCAACATCCGTTTGATGCCACTGACACAATACATCCTTTTCCGGTACCTTTCTTGAAACGCCCCACAAAACTGTCAGAAGCATATGCAGCTGTACCCGGAATAACAATAATTACGGACCTAACATCTGCAAATAACATGACATCCAACGAACAAACACTACCACCCAGTATCGTTATTGCCAATCACGTACAGAAAATTGACCACACTACTCCAGCACAAAAGATTGACAGAGATCACACTGGGAAAAATTCTATGGAAAATATGAGGGGAGCGCAGGAAAGTGGAGAGATTTTGTTTGATCTAGATAATACAGAAAGGTAAGTATTTTACACCGCAACCACTGAAGCTACACATAGCTTAATATCTGAAATATAATCATAGAATAAAGTTGTTAAGTTAGACTCGAAATTCAACTTTTTAATTCACTTATCTTAATGATTTTTAAGATTCATAGAAAAATGTTAACTATATGCTAACAGCAACCATCTACTGAAATGTATTCAGACCTGTGAAATTAAAGCCCAAGTTGATTGATAAGTTCTCATTCAGCAAATACTGCATCTTTTTTTCTTATCAGGTTGGAACGTGTAACAGCTCCATCAGTGATTATACTGATTTGTTTAAGTACCGTAGCCATTGTTATGGCTGCCGTGCTTATTGGTTTATGTATTGCGAAACATCGTCGACTGCAAACTTGCCATGACTCGATGACAACTGATAGCGCTGCACGTACTAATGCTTATGTTGCTGCTCAGCTCGATATGATCTACGGAACAATAAGACGGAATCGGTAGAATTCCAGCATTTCGAAGTTTATTTCTTCCGTAAATCACATTAAATTTTCTACAAACTAATAAGTACTGTTTCCAGCGGATTCAACCCACAACTAAGCGTAACATTTACGAATTTCAGAAATGCACCGATACTAAATCGATTTGACGATGGACAACCATGGATTTATGCTCCTGCTTCGTACGGAACTGCCGGTTACTACAAATAGAAGTTTGAGAGCCTAATCCAGGATTAATCATTTAGATCAGAAGTACTTAAATCCGGTGCTCAAATCGTCCCTTTTTTCTGTCAACATTCCATGTATTTTTTTTTTTTTTTTTTGTATCCGCATTATTAACCAGCATTCTACTCATGCTTTCCCCAAGTTAAAAATTTTTACGAAAAATCTTATGATCGAATCCGTTTTTGTAACTTTTCGGTTCGAGATTTTTGTTTCGTTTGTTTACTCTTCGTCTTTTATTCAATTCCAAAAAAACACTTCACCTAAACTGCTGACGTATTATTAATTTTAATTTGTTACTTCAAGTCAAAGCATATGAAGAAAAAAGATCTAACAGATGGAAGAAACATGAAGTTCCCTTCTATCAGTTTTGCAGATTCTCATTCAGATAAAAAAAAAAAAAAAATTCTCAGAACTGTCAGTAAAGGAATTATCCCCATTTCATGTTCTTATTCAGAAATAAAGAAATGCCATTTTGAAAAATTATTACCTCATTCAATAGTAAAAGAAAATTATGAACAAGATGAAAGAAGTTAATAATAAGGATAAAATAAACTACAGAAAATAAGTTGGGAATTATTTTTTTAGTAAACTTTTTATTATTTTTATTACTTCTGCACCTCAGTGCTTCAAAAAATTATCTGTAATTTAATCTAAAGCAAAAAATTTTATGGTAACTGCAACACGGAAGAAGCGATGGGAACAAGAAATTTTAACGAAATAAAAATCATCTCCAGGTAATCGTCCTTTCTTTCAATCTTAGCTCTGAAGCACCAAGTGCAAGAAATTACCCAAATTGATAATCAAAAATAGTGGAAAAGGTTTACGGTACTGCTAATTAGGAAATAGCTTCTAGAAATCACAAAATACATATGCTATAAAAGGTGCGAGGTAAACGTCGATGTGGTGGAAAGACGACAGTCAAGAATCCATTACTAAGCGTATGACACTACTTCATGATTGTGAAATTCGACCACTCATCCCGATAGAAGAGATATGGGAATGACAGTGTCAAAATATTCGAACAAGAGTGTAACGAGTGATTTATAAACACTAACCCTTCAGGATATGCTGAGACAATTTCCATTATGTAAATTTATTCTTTGACTTTAAAGATGTATAATATTATTTTAAAAATGAATTGAGCTGATTTCCATTGGATTTCACCTTAGCCTCACCTATTTTTAAAATTCAGAGTTCTGAAACTGAATCCTCAATCAGGCTAATAAAACTTGAATCGATAAGACCCAATTACACATAGATATAACATAATACAACAAATCCTTCATGTCTTTTTTGAAGCATTTGTGTTACTAATACACTTCGCCCAAAAAATGCTGTGTTATCAGACGGATAATTACTCTCTGAGTTTACTGTTAAATAAAGTTTTAAATTGCAGTGAACTACGAATTCTCTTTCTGAGATTTGGAATGTTATATAGTCAAGAACTAACAAATAAAAGTAATATAGGAATATTTAAGGAATGTGAGCCAAAATTGATATCAATCATGTGAGATTCTTATGAAAAAAAAAGCCCACTTACTATAATACGATAAAAACTGTGTCACTCATCACCGATTAACACGATGCACATACAATTTAAAAGGTTGTTTTCCAGTTGAACTACGTATCGTGTGTATAAAGAAGTACTATTGTACAAAATTTTGTTTCACAAAATAGCACGGACAGATGAATCTGCGGCAAGAACAAGCAACCATGAGTACTGGCCTTGACCTAACAACATGGCTGATGATGTAGAAGTATTTGAATGTATTGCACAAAAGTTCTAGAAATATGTGAAGCGAAAAGGGCGGCGACCTTCCTGGTACCTGTTATTTCTTCTGCATACTCCCGCCCCACATCGTCCCTTCATCACCACATCCTCAGTCATCTTACCGCTCATTGTCAGATGTAAATCGTTCTCATCTCAGGCAGAGTCTACTCGTCTACTAATAAACATCTTTTGAGGAAAACGTGGATGAAAACCCAAGTTCCATTAAATTAATCCACATACTGTACTGGATTCTAATTTCCACGTCCTTTCACACAGATTCCTCACATCCTTAGGATAATCTTCACCTAACAAGCACTTAACCACCAAGATAATTTATTTTAATTTCTGATTTGAACTCTGAAAAAATGATGCATTACCGAATAATTCTATTTTTCTGTGTATTTGTCAGCTCTGCACTAGCATTTTGTCCAACGTTTCTGAAAAATCAGACAACTTGTTCTTGCTTTGCTTATATTGATGGTGTCGTAATTCGATGTAGTGGCCAAAATGGACCAGCTATAGTGGAACAACTCAAGAAAACACCAACTGAAATACGCGAACTAGCACTTGAAAAAGCTAACATTGTCGAGGTGAGATTTTAAAAAATCAACCTTTTCGAAATAAAAGAAAATGGAATTTTAAAGTCATAAGTTTGTTTGGAGACTAGAAATAATTTAAGATTATGCGATTTTGTGAACTACTCAGCCGTCAATTTCGAATTTGATCACTTTTTTCTTACTAAAATTCAAATTGTGCAACATAGATCGGACGAAATGCGTTCAGGAATTTGCGGATCAAAAAGTTGATTCTCGACAATAATCGTATCCGTGCGCTGCACCCGCAAGCATTCCGTGGTCTGGAATCTGTCATGCTTGAGCTTTCAATTTCTAAAAATAAGCTTACTGCTATTCCAACCGATTCACTTGTCGGAATGCGCGCTCTACGTGTACTTAGTCTACGCTGCAACAATATTGGGGACATCGAAGCACCTGCTTTCCAGAATACGTCCAGCATGATCGACTTAAATCTTGAATGTAATCAGGTGAAATTTATGAAATTTAAGTCATTTCTTTTTAAATGAACCTTATAAAGCTGAAGACACTCAAAACAGGATCTCAGAATTTTTTTTTTTTTTTTTTTGAATTAAGCAAATAGATTAATAAACAAGGAGCACAACTTTCTAAAAGAAATTCACTCAGATCTGCAATATCGAAGGATCGGTATTCAATGACGTGAAAGACACTCTGCAAAACCTAATCCTTGATAATAACTGCTTGTCAGCGGTACCTTCCGAAGCGCTTCGAGGTCTGGATAACCTTATCGGCTTACACATGAAATACAATGAGGTAAGCGACTAAAAGATAATACTAACTCTTCCCAAAGATTTTTTCCAGTTATCTCCAGAAATGTTCAAAGACTTTAACTGATTTTAGGCTTTAGATAAAGTAATGCTGTGGTGCAACTGAGATACTAAATAGTTGAATATTACGAAGTGCTTCTTTGGTATTTAAAACTTTACATTCAGATTAAACAACTGAACAACATGCAGTTAACTAATCTAAGTAGTCTAACAATTCTCTCACTCACCGGAAATAAAATTTCTACAATTGAAAGTGATTTTATGCCACAAGCCGAGAATCTTCGCTATCTTTATCTGGGTAATAACAATTTAGAAACCATCGAACAGGGAGTAATGCATCAGTTCAAACAAGTCCAGGTGAAACCTTAATTTCTGCAAAATTTAACTCAAAAAACACTCCAGTTCTAAAACTTCAAAAAAATTGGTACTTGCTACAACAAGAACTTATTGTTTCCTATGCGAAAAAGCTACAAAAATACTGGCTGTGAAAAAGCAAAAACCCTAGACAAATTAAAATGTTAAAGTCAAGTTGTTTGCTGATTGTCCACTAATTCCTGCCTCAGGTCATCGATATGAGCTATAATTATTTCACTAAGATAACGGGAGACATGTTCTCTGGTCTCGAACATTTACAACATCTCAATCTTGAAGGAAATCAAATAAAGGTAACTAATGAAATCACATTTTCTTAATAGAAGCAAAAAATATTAACCGGACCTCTTAGATACAGAAATTTGGAGTTAGTGTTGTAAGACTTCATTATCTTAATTTGATATCAAGAAGGTAGAAAAAATACTCCAGGATATAGCACCAGGAGCATTTGCAACAACACCATTACTTCTACTGTGGTTAAGAAACAACTGTTTGGGATCTATATCACCAAACCTGTTTCAAGGTACACCTTTTCTGCGACAAGTATCCCTTGCTAACAACAACATCAGGACAATCGAGGTAATATACACAATTTTAGTATCATTTAGATTATTTTTTATAGCTTATTAATCATCTCGTTTTTATAGCTATAATCTTTACAATGCCGAGAACTACATTTTTAAAACCTGCTGAAATAGGATCAATTATGTTGCAGCCTTTAAGCTTCGCACACTTAGCTAATTTGCATACCTTGGATTTGTCGCACAATAAAATACACATTATCGAACCAAGTGCTATTATTGGTTCTGATTATCTGATGGTTCGACTACAAGGTTTGTTTCATCAACAGTCTTAAAGAGGCGTAAAAATAACGGATTAATAACTGGTTAGAAAACCAATCACTGGACCGAAAAATCTATAGTTTATTTCATGCCAAAGATACTGTATCAGTCGGCAAGTATATTCCAAAGGTTAAAAGGTGAAGATTTAAACAATAAATGATACGTAAACTCAACATTCTCGTTCTTAATTTTATCCAGAAAATCCGATGGTTTGTCTGCAAGACGGCTTTCACGTTATGAATGGAAAGGAGGCAATAAATCTTACAACGGAGCCCAATTTAATCTGTCAAACAAATTACACGAATAATCTGGAGGATATATGCCCCAAAAACAGCAATGTGCCACAACCACCATCATGCTGCTTAAAATCGACATCAAGTATTTTTTTTAATTAACAAAGTTATAAAATATATCACTTGTCCCATAATCGAAGTGTTTCTGAGAAACATGAATCTTCCTATCAAAAAGTTTCTGAAACATCCAGAAAATTTTCGACCGTTTCAGAAGCTGATAAAACATTTTCAACGTTACCTTTGGAAATAAGAACAACTCCAATATCAGCAACTGCATCAACTCACGAAACTCCAAATATTCACCTGAATAATGTTCACAGCAAGAAATTCAACACTGAAAGGTTTTTGCGTCTTTCACAACGACCTTCCGGATATCGAACATCACCTTTTCTACGATATCGTTTACCAACACATTCAAAACTTTCAGACACTTCTATACTTGGTAAAAGTTCCAATAGCAAAGCGATCCAAGTGAGTGTTATAATTAATAAATCTAAGAAAAATCACTAACAGAATGAATACTAAATTATTAGAGTCAAGAATTTGGAAGAAAGTTGAGTAAAATTAATTTTAAAGCAAACATGAAGCAACAAAAATTATGCAATTCTTCGAATAGAAATTATAAGTATCTTGATTAGGCTGAACGATTTCCGCGATTAGACAAACATTTGGAGAAAATTCGAGGTCAATTACCACCTTACATACGTATCGAATCGAAGGATAAAGAGGAATTCGTGGAATTTGTGTCAGACAGTCATGTTAATTCAGTCCAAACACAGGATAGTAAACAACAGTAATTTCCGGATTTCCTATGCTACAACTATAAAAGCTCAAGAAACGGAACGAATCAAAAAGGTGCTAATAAATTTGTCATCATAGACCAAACCCATAAATTTATTCATTTTTGTACTTCAAGTTGCCATTATACTTCAAAAGTAATAAAACACTGTAATCCGTGTAATCAAAAATGGAACCTTAATAAGAAAAACTGTGCTGAAATTTAAATAAGGCATTAAAGATAATCATGATTAAAGAAAACTGCATACACGCTATACACACTTTACAAAAAAATCCTATAAAAGTTCAGTTGGGAGAAAAAAAAAAAAACTAGCCATCTGAAGATGTTGCTGATGATTGGAACACTGTTTCCTTAAGATCGTAGGGGGTTGGAATTGGCTGATTTGGCAGTATAATATTAAGTTCAGCCTGGAACTGGTTAAGTTCACTCAAAAATATATTAATATATTAACTCTCTTTAGAAATATGGGTGTAAACTGAAATAGAAGACAATTACGTGAGCATAATTAAGGAAAATGGATATACCTCATTCAAGAAGCAAATCATTTCAATTGCCGGGCCATTTCCATTGCTACGGTTAGCAGAGAAAAATTTTTGGTCATCAATAAGTTGATCCACAAAAGTTGATATATATGAAATTAGACGCATGATTTGAAGGAACTGAAAATGATCAACCGCAATTCGAATCTTCGACATCGGTTGCAGTGCCATACTTACCTAAAAAGCAAAAGTACCATTTCTTTCTCTTCCCGAAAATTTTTCTTCTTATAGTTTTAAACAACCAACATGAACTTTATGGAAAAGAAATAAAAATATTTAAACTCGAAAGTTTTCAGAAACATGCAACCACAAAAAAAAAAAAAAAAAAAAAAAAAAAACAGTCAAATATCCAACTTTCAATGGTTTAACACTAAGAAGCGCATGAAATGCAACATCACCAAGCAAAGGTGTACTCGATACTTCTGCGAAATCTGTGCTTATTCGAACCGGTGATGTATTTATCCAAATCCGCTCCGCTAAAATTGTTTGAAGCAGTTAATCAAGAAATTAAATCATGTTCCAAACGATATAAACAAATGATTAATTCCTTATCGTTTAGATCCAACCAACCGGATAACTGGTCTCCAAGCACAACTTAAATAGTAGGAACCACAAAAATATATATTGGCGGACTTTCTGAAGTCTAAAAACTGTTGCTTTGCACTGGGATTTTTAAAGTGATAAATCGCGAAGATAACAAATAGTACACATATAGCACAAAATAATAAATAGTTGTTACCTTCATCAACATTCTCACACGAATTTTGATTCAACTGTAAGATGAATTCTTTCAATTTCTCATTGCTAACCAGAAGGCCAACATGGTCGATGAAATCAATTACATTTGATGAAATCGACTTAAAAAACGAATTTGACTCGTCACCGGAAACTGTTTCGTAATTAGTAGCCAGCAAAGTGCTCATGCTTATCACAATTCTGCGTGCGAAACGCGTATCAGATACAAACGAGTCTTTTAATGGTATTATTATCTGGAATTTTACCTGATTTGAAAACTCTTTACTTTACTTTCACATAAATAAAAAAAATGATTGAAAATAGAATAACGAATTTGTTAAAGATAAAATTTCTGGTTGTGTTTTACAGCAAAGTACTTATCAAAAATCGTCTTCCTTTAGCTTTCAACTTCAACAGACCAAAGATCAAAAAAAAGACCGATAAAATCATTATTTCTGATGAAGTAATCGATTCATTTTCTTTGTATATACCTTGGGCATAAATAGATTGATGCGCAGATAGGTTTTGGGTATCTTTGAGCCATCAGGCATTATGCTAGAGATTTGCTGAAAAATATAATTTTGTCTGAATAAACTATACTTTGAAAATTAGTGTAATTTAAAAAGATAAGAGATAAATCGTAAACTTACTAAAGCATATTTAATATCATCGATTATGAATAAGAGCCATCGAATCGTTCTTTGATCGACTACGAAAAAAAATGGACCAAGTAAAAGATGTGTGATGTTTGAGGGCACTGAAAATCAGTTGGTCAAAACAGCATCTAATTAAATAGTAATACTGTAAACATTTCAATTAAAATGAATAAAAGCTATTGCCTGGGAAATTTTCACATGTTGGGTGATAAAAAGAAGTAAACTCGAGATGGAAAACAGGACAATCGCCTTGTGCTGCGATATTTAATTTACGATCCGACATGAACAGATTAAACAATGTTTCCTTTTTGGAATTCATATCCGTCACACACTGGACAATAATATCATACATTCGTATCACACAATTCTGAGACATTAACTCTGGCCACAAATCAACTATTCGAGATTGTGCACTAGCATCTGCAAAGGAAAATGAAAATGTAAAAACGCAAGTGGAAATCAAAATTTGAAACAAAAGTGAGCCAAATGACTGTAATCAAAAACTTAATAACCCAAACCTAATTCAGTGCAAAGCTTCCGCAGGTGGAACTGTAATATTTTGTGGACCCAGGCAGCACAATGATTTGCGTTATCATATCGAATCCAATCACTACGATCAGATATAGCGTTGTTAGCTGGATAAAAATCAACGGACAGGCGCAATAAGGTTACCTGTAGTGCACCACAAATAATATCCCAATCTTCAGGATAACCTGGAAACTTGCTTTAGTTCACAAAATTAATAAGAAAAAGCTAAAAGAAGATGGATTTAAATTAACCGAAATGTAAAGTCCAAAATCAAACAAAAATGTAAAAAAGAGCAAAATTTAATTTAAATGCGTCAAAACTTTGCACCACTTGGATTTTAGAAGTTACTGAACAACGCGGAATAATGTAGACACAAGTTTCGAATGAAAAAAAAAAAAGAAAATTCATATAAATATAAAAACTAAAACGGAAAAAATCAATACCATCCGAGGTTTGATTATCATCACAGAGATGAAGATCAATTTTGCCAACATAAACATGGTACGATGTTCGATTAAAATCGAAATTGCGAAATATGGCTGAAACCGGAATCGAAGGAGGCGATTTGACCACTGGCGGTTTTATTTCGATGCACTTTAATAATAAATGAATAATATTGCAAAACTGAAGGAACAGCAAAAGAAGTACGATGTACAACATGAATTTCGCCCTTGACAATGACATAAAAAACAAAAAAAACCTATACAAATGTTCAACCTCTCTGTGGTATAACGTTGGTACTTTCTTGGAAGCTGCTTTGATTATATTCATGATATGATCGTAAAATGTGATAGCAGACCGTATTTGCGGTAAAGTAGCAATCCACAAAATATCGTCTAATATTAACTGTATACGACCACCAAGAACGCTACCATCTAAAAAGAACTTTTAATTTTCCTATTAACTCAATAAAGCAGCTTACTGCAATGCAACCAAAGAGTGAAAGGTAATACACCACTTTAGATGTTGTTTTAGTGCCTGTTAGATGTAAATTTCGGTAAATTCATACCAGCAGTGGACTTTTTCACACTGATTCTACTCTTTCCATTGCTAGTAATCAATCTTAATGGAGCATTTATAGCATTACACGATGAATTAGCTTGTGCAGATGCTTCGATACGTAATAACTGCCATGTAACCTGAGAAAGGACCGTTTTATGAAACATTGTACTGACTAACAGCTACACAGTAGAGTGAAGACATTTAAACCAATGGCAAATTGGCAAGACTTTATGGTCTTCATAAATCGTAAAATGGAAAATTATTAAACAATATCACGAAGTGTTTCGAAAAATAGACCATTTTAAACATAAGTAATTTGCTAGTATTCGTATCTACAAGTCGAGTATATCGCAAATCATTGACTGTTTGCCAGGTCGGGCTCTTACTTTCAACCGCCAGTCTCGAGAGCTGAAAAGATTTCATGGAAAAAACTCCAGCATCACTAAAAAAACTGTGGGAATAAAATCATTAAGGGAATGAATATAGCATTCAGAAACATACCGTTAGAGAACCACGAAAAACACCAGAATCGAAATCAATCTCCACTGAATTAACATAAAGTGACATCAATTCAGCAACTCGATTAGCAAATCCGTATGTTGAGTCTCCAAAAGCACTGAAATAATATTTTTAAGCTTCAATAATCATTCAGAGTATTTTATTTCAAAATTAAGTATGCAAATCATGGCGGTGAAGAAATATACCTCAAAGAATTTGAGTCACAGTCAACAAATTCATCTGAACTAAGCTCGACCTCTACCCGTACTTCATCAATAAACTGAAAACAGAGACTACAGTAGAATGAAAGACGAAATAATTCAAAGTAATATTTTTGGAATGGAAAGATTTTAGTTTGCATGCAGTTGTTTCGTCTCAAATATGGTCAGAATAACTGAATTAACATCTAATGTTTAAAAGAATTATGATTTCATGACAGCCGATATATCTTCATGCTCATGGTATATTTTCTATTAGCCCTTATAGTGCTGTTGAGACTAAGATATTCGCGAAGTTTGCACTTACAAAGGTTTCGTTTATCAATTTCAGCTAAAAACATCCGCAGTGATGGAAATTTTTTCTTTGCCCAATTCTATTTTTCAAATGCAAAACGAAAAGTTACTAGTTTAACTGGTTGTGACTTCAACTTCGTCCATGGAACTTTAACAGCTATTCTATTGCAAACTGCTCGCTTAACTCGTAGCCATGTTGGTAATTCAAGTACCTGAAAAGAGGTATATACGTAAATATATTTATATTAATATAAATATACAATATTTTGTTGAAGGTGAATTTTATATTATGAAACGAACTGCTATATGTGAATTTTTACGTGGAACCATCGATGCGAAGCTGAAAGTGAGCGCTTACGGTTGATAAAGGTGTAACGGATAATCCTACTGGATAAGTATCTACTGTCATATTTCATATAATTTTATCAGTTTAAGCCTTAAATTTATTCAACAAACAAATATTAGAAAAAAAAAGTTATTTTTGTATTTTGGGGAAAATATCTTAGAACGAATACATGAAGCAAATATAAAAAATACTCTCTCAAAAAAAAAACTAACTTCACTTAGGACTATTTCGTTTAATTCGATGTTCTTTAGTTCTCCTTTACCACTCAAAATCTGCACGCTGATTTGATCGGCTGTAATATTGCGAACAAATCTGAAATTTAGTTGAAAGTAACACATCGTTTTGTGCAATGCATTTCTTTCAAAACGTATACTCAGGAAAGTTTACAAAACAGTAGAAAAGCTTATGAAAAAAAAAAAAAAAAACATATTCAGATATTACTTTGAAAGATGCTTGATAATTTGATTCTTGATAATACTTGTCATTGGTAATTTACAGATCTTTTCCACATCTATTCCCCCAGTAATCGCGATTGTTGGCTGCAAAAAAAAAAAAAAGAGAGAGAGAGAGAGAGAGAAAGCTGCTAACATATGACAGTTATGTTTTCTGGCCAAAGAAAGCACCTATATCACTAATTAATCCAACAAATCCTTGCAACAGATCATTCAAAATATTGTTTAGCTTGAATCGATTGGTGGTAAGAATAGCAATGGAATTTTAATTTTTTGATTGTCATTTAGAAATTGAAAAAAAAAAAAAAAAAAAAAAAAAAACTTCCTGATCACATATCTAAAGTAGAGCTAGTATTTATGTAAGTTAGGATGTGCGGAAATTACTTAGAGGAACCATTTTCTCTATTTTAAGAGTACAATATAAATGAAAAAAAAACCTAATAAAAATAAATGCACTTACTAGGCATAACGGAACGGAACTCCCAACCCACTGTTATCCAAGTAGCAATATCATTAGATCACCACTCTACTCTTGTAAAAAAGAAAAGCAATATTTTTGATAGATACATACTCAAAGTATTACGAAACACTACTTAACCGTAATAATCAATTGTGACGGATGTCAACATTGGCTAATCAAAATCTTGACCAAATAAAATTAGATTCAGTCTACGAACCTCTACTAGTGCTTACAAATATTGTACGGGAAAGATAAATGTCATCTGAGATGCTAAGCAGTGATAAACAGACCGAATATAGTATTCATCCTGAATTTGTGGCATTAAAGACAAATGAAATCGGATAAAACTGAAGTATAACTCGTACAAACTACAAGTACAAATTGTGCACAAGAACTAGCGCGGTTAAATGATAAATAATTTGTCACAGAGATGTCATAGGCGATGTCGAGAACTCGCTTCGATGTGTTTTAAGACTTCAACCCTCACGGATCCACTACACATTACCATTAGATTACAAACGACAACAACAAATCAACCACCACATGATGGGATATTTCACTTTTCGTCAGCTGTTGGCTTCGTGTCTCCAAACCCGCGATAAGGAAATTCGAATGACCCATGTGCATGAGGAATGTTTGTCCGAAAAGGGATGGTGCAAGATTTGCTGTGGGCATGTTATGATAATTAGGCAAGGCTTGTAATCCTTTCTATCACTGATCTTTCTTATTATTCGTCACTATTTGTTGCACTACTGTAGTGGATAGAGTATATGCAAAAATATGACGAAAAATTTCAAAGATGTACGGAAGAATATAGTGAAAATATTGGAACAGTCAGTATAATGCGTTAACAAATGTATAATAAAAAAGATAATGAAAAATAAGCTGCTTAAAGATCTTTAATGAAGCTATTACATTTTCAAGTGTAATAGGTTCATTAGGTAGCAAACATACTGTTTCTTAAATTAATGGATTGTAGCCGTTTTGGAAGAGCCAACCTGTCATAGGTTTGTTGAGTTTCAACTTTTGAAATTGGTTGGAATGTGCCTAACTTTTTTCTTCAGTTTTTATTCTTCATAGTTTTCTTGAGATAATCTTTGAAATTTATGAAGTCCTCAAAAAATGGACTTTTTTGATTGGTGCTAGAGAATGCGGCTGATATCAAGTGGGAAGGAGCAAATGAAATGAATGAAACTTTTTTCTCTTTAAAATAGGTGTAGTTATTACGATGAAGTCATTTTTAGTAACATCAGAATTACTGATAGGTTGTTCCTACCATATTGTGGATTACTTCTTCAACAGAATTGCTGTGATCTTTGAATATTTCGTTGTGCTTCGTTTGAGAGTATTCATTCTAGTTTAAAAAAGCTAGATTTTTCTGGAGAAGTAACTTTGGAGATTCCAAGAAATTTCTCAATACTTTAAGGTAGTTTGCAAGTCGTACAGCAATATTTATGTTTGTCCTTTAAATTTACATTTACCCTTGTATTCTGTTGTAATTTTTACAACAGAAAACTTCGAACCGTGGTGGATAGCCAATAATGCTAACATCTTCAGTAAAATACCGAAAATGTACTTATGCCGCTTACTGTCCTTTGCAGGTTTGCCTAACTTCTTTTTTAACGGATCGGTTAAATTTTCCCAAGAAAATGCAAATATTTAACACCTAAATTTTCACGCTTATTTGCTTCCCACATATTACATAATAAAGATGAACCGATTTCCTTGTTTACTTTTATTGTTTTACATGTTCAATTATCAGACGCAGATGCTAGTATAATGTAACTTTTCTCCTCTTAATAGCCATTTTTTTTTCTTTACTGCAAACTAAAATATGAAATATAAGCTGTAAGCTTATCCCCGTGATTCCATCAGTTATGTCATTAATATATATATATATATATTCTTTTTCATCGTCTAAACAATAGTCTATGTTTGGTATCTCATGCAGTTCAGAAAAAGAAAGCAATAAAATTTTTTTCGATAAGAAAAATATGGAATTTGTAAAAGTCGGTTTATCTGTTACCCATATTTTTTTCTATTTAGGGTCCACAACTATTCACTGAGAATGAAATGAGTAAGAGTCCTGATGTGCGATATATTTCTGATGTGTAAGTTGTGAGACTGAATTCAATTTAAAATTTCGTCTAAACCAAAGCGTTAGTATTCAGATATGTAGAAATGACGTTTCTGCACGTTAATGTGAAAATTTCTATTTTCTTAAAACGGTTAATTTGTAGGGACGAACGATTAGGTGTAGCTGTGAGATTATATGCGATAGTGGAAAGTTCTATGCAGAAAATTAAAGCAGAAATGCTAGTCGAGCACATTCGTGCCAAAATTTTACCTTTTGATCGGTCATTTGGCGAGCACCCTATTAACAATGTTGGAAATGATGCTCAGGTCCTTAACCTGCTAAAAAATTGTTTGAATCTGTTCAAGTTTCCATCATATTCTCTCTTCAATCGTTTATAACGATAATTATTCAGTAGCTTGCATATTCTTTATCGCCAAACTTGAAAAAATCCTCTAATTGGTTGAGAAAAATACACTTTTTCGAATAGTTTTTTCTTTTTTTTTTTGCTTTTCATCTTACAATCGTAGTACTTTGCAATCACTGAGATTGAGCTACACGTCCAAGATCACCACCACTTTATCATTTACAGTGTATACGGTCACAAATGATACGAATAATGTGTTTATTTCATATGTCTATCATAACGAACATTATCTGTTATAGTGTTAACATTTTTGTTTATTCTACATGAATTCATGGGAAAACAATTCTTACATGGATATAGTTCAGCTGGCCAGCCTTCTCGGTACAATACTGACCTCAATTGAACGACTCTCTTTTCAAGTGTGTAGAAAACAAAAAGAGGAAGTGCCGAATATTGCCATTATTATAATACGCGGGCGTCTTATTCTCTGTGGCATTTTGGGAGATATAGTGTAAGCAATTACATATATTGCGGCAGGAAGTAGGAATGGCAGATTTTTATTTGAGTTAGACATTTCTACACAAGAATTTTGAATTCATGCAGCATGTAAGCGATTCCTATTTGCAGGGCATAAAATTTACAAAAGAAAACTTTTCAGCAACTTTATAAGTGCTGTTATTGACACTGATACTATCCACTTTCTATTTTGCGCATTTCTCTCAAAAGCTAATTAAATTCCTTTAGCTTTGCTTTGCTGCGAAAAAATTCTGACTCCTACGCGAGTAGAGTTGGCTCTCAACAGTACACGCTTTTCAGTAATTGCAATGTACCACAAACACTGGTATTGCCTACTTCTATTATTTAAATTTTGCTTAAAATGAAGGGTGGAAAGAAAAGTTTCATATTTTTTGTAAATGAGAGTATTCGGTCAATAAGCTGCCTAAATTATAACAAACACTATCATCGTAACAAACATCGAAAGCAATCACAAAAGCCCGTTATATTACAGAAAGGGAGCAATTTTGCAGCAACGGACAACACTCTCGTAAAACTTTACATACATGAGGTAAATATCTTCTTCCAATGTTTGCCGTAGATGTCATGAATATTTATCTCATATCTTTCACTTCTTATTCTTACAAAAAAGATAGCAGTATTTTTTATTATTTTATTGTTATCAATATTCTGTATAGTATGTATAGTAGAAACAAAATCAATTCATCATTTTTACTTAATATCAAAACTCCCAATGTATGGAATTATAGATGCAACCATCAGATTTGCGATTTTTTGTATTTACAAGAGAATCAATTCGAATGCTATTAAAATCAATTCCGTCGTTAACATTATTCACGAAAAGCTCTGGTTAGCGTATTCTGCATAATGAATTTCACAGAATTGGAATCGATTTTTGTTGATGTCGATTTCGCACCTGTAAAAAGTGTAATACCTTTATTTGCATGTTCATCAGGACAGATATTTTCAAATTGTATCCAATATTCCTTAATATTGAGACATTTGAACTTTGCAGACGATATAATATGGTCACTACATTTATGGCAGACGGAGATGTACTCAAAGAATCCACAAAAAGTACCTGCAGCTGGCTTTCTACTTGTTGATAACTTATCAAAAATGATTGCTGATAGCGATGTATGTTTGAAACAGAACTTTGCTGAAAATTTGCTGAAAAAGATCAAAGAAGAACAGTCCCAAGAGAAACAAACAAGAAGAGAACAGAGGTGGAAGATGCTGGAAAGTAAACTGGCTGCTGAAATGAACATTTCCGAGAAATCAGAAGACTCAACAAATCAACGTACTGTGTACTTACAAACGAAGTTAAAACAGATCCAAGCAACGTACACCAGAATAAAGGAGCTTGTCAATAAATTACTTCATGAAGAAAGAAATGAAATGTTGGCTTATATGAAGCGTAAAGAAGAAGTTTTGAATTTAGAAAAGGAATGTGAGCAACAAAAGGCATTGCAAGAAAAAGTACTGAGTTTACAAGAGCGACAAAGGAAACAACTGGCTGATTTGCGGGGCTTTTTGCGTAAATTCCTGAAATATCAAGATATTGTGCGGTGTGAACTGCTGATAAATGTTGAAAAACTAGAACAACGGTTAGAAACGATGAAATTTGAAAACAGTGAAATTCATTTGCGAAATATATGCCGTTATCATCAACGAATGCTACGTGTAACATTGTTCCAGAACAAAATTGAACAGAATTTGGAAAGTTTAGAGAAGCAAATGCAAGAAACAACTAGGAATAGTTGTAGAATGCAGCGGAAGTTAGAAACACTCAGATCACAGGTAATAACCACTTCAGTTTTCACCTGTATTCTTCCTGTACTGTACCATTTTTCAATCTTTCGTTCTACTTCACATAGAGTCTTCAAAAATTTATATCTTTCACACATAAAATAATTTGCATAGCTTTGTACAAGCGAAAAAGAGAGTCGAAGATTTTACAGCTTCAACAGAAAAAACAATTGGTTAAACCAATACAGGAAATTAGACCAATATCGGGACAAACTTACTGCAGAAGTGGTGGCGCACAACGAAATTTTCACGTAGCAGCAAATAGGCAATTCCATTATGGTGATGAGTTTCAACGGCACCATTGGCGCCGACGGTCAAATAGCGAAGTATTGTGGAAAAATAATTGTGAAAGAAACCATAAACCAATCTGCTAATCACAGATTCCTGTCACTTTCTAAATTTTATTCATCAGTTGTATTAAATAAACAAATTCTGGTTGCGTTACATTTTGAATCAATTAGTAACTAATAAAAGAGTAACGCGGTTCACTGGAAATTAAAGAAAAGTTAGCATGATTTTAAATGAGCACGATGCACGAAACACTATTGTACTGTTAAAAATCACACATCACTGATGACAAAGTAAAATATCGCTTCATTGATTGAGACGCACTAATGAGCTGACTTCACGTCATCAGAACACTTTATTTAAGAAAAATAAATTATAATGGCGAAGTGAATCTTTCAAATGTTCTTGTTAATGCTTTAGACAAAAAACTAAGGGCTGCTCATTTATTTTATAGGTTCGTTCTGGAAGTATGGGTAATGTTCAATAGCATTTTGCTGCTATTTATTGTCTGTTAATTATGAAAAATCGGAAGCAGATAGTCAGGAAAAGATTGTTTCGATGACTCATTGACACTTTTGCATATTTCTACACAGTGTAATGTAATGTAAAATGAAGTTACACCACATTGTCGTGAAAGGTTTGTCTTCAGATACTCGAATATTTGTGTAACAGCAGTGAGATTTATAAATCTTTATTTTTATTTAACTTACTATCAGTAACCTGAACAGTAGAAATAAACTTTATAAAATCGGAGGAAATTTAGATTGATTATGAGGGCTTATAGTCGACAATAATGACCATAATGAATCTTTTGTTTATTAGAATTGAATTTATATGAGTGAGAATTGGGCGTGTCTGAGATAAAAATTATATGTGTGAAGAATCGGAAATGTTTACAAAAAATTGAAAATTTACAATGTGAGAATTGAGCGTATTTAAGATGAAAATCACATGTGTGAAGAATCTTAAGAAGCTAGATTTAAGGAATTCATGATACCGTAAGATTGTTTACAATTTAAAAATGATTAATTAGTTTTATTAGTATTTAGTTATATTAATCTTATTATTTTGGTTAGAGTTTTTCGCGAAATTAACATTACAAAAAAAAAAAAGATTTCTGATATGTCTGATATTGCCTTTCATATACTGCTTGTTTTTGACTTGACAATGATCTGTCGCAGTTTCAATTTAATTAAGTTAAAGAACTTTTAGTTTTAAATGACTGGCAATTTTTCTGTTCCTTATTTCATGGAAAAATCATCGATCTGCAATCAAATTATTATTTTTTTCATTTGCCCAATTATTGTCCCATACTTCTAATCATTGTTTACATGTTTTTATTGCTATCATTTATTACTTTATAAGTCTTTGTTTAGAGGATTTTTGTCAGTTATTTATCATAACAGCTTAAGGTTTGTTTATTTATGTATAAAATCAATACAACGGAAGCTACTGCAACAACAATACGAACCTTGCTTAGGTCCATTCTATGGCCTTACAAATGCAAGACACGATGCAGCGCATCTAAGCTTGTTCAGAAATTTATGTTTTTTTTTTAATTTCGTATCGTTATCACACTTAGATCAAATCGTACATACTCAAATTTTCGATGGAAAATGTACTCTTGTCCACTATGGTAGATACGACACCTATTTAATTTATCTCATGTTATTAAACTTTTGAAAAAAAATTTGTGATTCAACAGTTTGACTTTACCACATAGACTGCAATGTCATAAAAAATTGCTATGTGCAGATTGCAGTATAGAAAGAATATCCATTTTCAAGGAACAGTTTGACTTTCGTTGCACTTGAAATTGGTAAAGCGAAGATTCTCAACATTGTTAATATTTCTTGATTTAAAAATCATTGCTTATTTTTAAAGATTTATTTTTTTCTTATAGATAATTGATTCCAATTAATAAAAATGTCTTCGATACAACCAGTTTTAAAAAAACGTCCGTTTACCAGCAGTTGCACCTTGAAAATAAATACTGCTATAAATTTTCAGTCATACATATGTGTGCAAATTTATAAAAAATTATAAAATTTGTTCGCTACATAGGTCGTTTTTAGTGCGAAATTCATTATAACACTGTATTCATTGAAATATAACAGTTGTAAAAGCAAATTTAGAATTCCTTTCTTACTGCCCTGTTGTCGTGAAAGGTTTGTCTGGTTGATATTCGAATAGTTGCAATACAGTAGAAAGATTAATAAACCTTTATTTTTCGAAAACGTAGTATGAATAAACCGAGGAATAAAAAAGAGAGGAAATTTATAATAAAAAAGAAGACCGGAGGAATTAATATTGGTTAACAGAGTAGTAGTCGACAATAATGATAATAATACCTTCCTGTTTATTAGAATTGAATTTATATGAGTGAGGATTGGGCATGTCTAGGATAAAAATCACATGTGTGAAGAATTCGAGGTGTTAACAAAGAAAAGATTAAAATGAAAGCTAATTTCAATTTTACAGAAAAAATTACATGCATGAAGAATTGGATGTGTTTACAAAAACGAGATTAAAATTATATGCGTGAATACCGTAGGACTGTTTACAATTTAAAAAGGAGAGATGATTTATGATACTATGAAATTAGTTAGAAGTTTTCGCGAAATTATAATTCGCGACACTCCCAAAGAGGGAGAGAAATTGTTTTAAGACGTAATTTTGAGAGAGTGATTTTGAGGTATATAGGTAAATGTACGGAGTTTAATAGGTAGGATTTCTTCTTTAGTTAGGAATTGAGTGTGTGGTGATTCTATAGGGAGAGTAATGATGGTAGTTTGATTTGAATTTCGTTTTTGAAGTATTACAAAGGAGAGATTGAATTAATTTAAATTTCCACTTAATAATAACTAAAATAGTTAATATTGTCACGATAATTATACAGATAAAAATCAATTTCCAATGTGTTATCACGTTTTTAAATTCTTCCATCGGTAGAACAATTTCATTGAATTCCCTTTCCATTTGTTTGATAATTTCTTTTCCTTTTTCAGAGATTTCTTGCCAAAAGAGTTCATCCTTCATTTGATGTGGTATTGAATTAATTGTTTTTTGGGTTTGAGTTAGGTTTTCTAATTCAACGTTAATTTTTTCAATTTCAAAATTGCTTATTAAACTCCCTCTGAATTCGATATTTTTGATTGCTATTCGTCCACATTTACAAGCAGTTACCATCAAATTTCCCTTAATTCTTTTAGCTATCACATCGTTTCTTTGAAGTATTAGTTTCGTGGCAAGGGTAGGATTGCTGATTGATAGCCATTTGATCAAAAGTAATAAGTTATTTCTGTTTTGGCAACTTCTCTGCTGTGTTTCTTTAAGTTGTTGAAAGAATTCTTGTCTTAGTGAATCAGAAAGGTATTGAAGTTTTACATTTTCAAGATCGTACTTTCTATCCGGAGACTTTTCCATCATCAATAGTTTATTTGTTACTCTTCGTTTGAATTTTGTAGTAGAGTTGGAGTCATCTTCAACGTCTAGTTCAATAACTATATCGCCCTGCATTAAATGTTTAATATAGGGGGGGGGGGGGAGGTTTATCAATTATAAGCGATGCTTGTATCTCATCGATGATGAAGTGGTTGTTATACTTTGTAGCCTTGAATCTTCCGATCTTTCGATATAAACAATGATTGGTCGTATCATTGCTATTCCATATGATAATGCTAGTATTCGTTATGCATTCACCCTTTTGTGTCGAACAGTCTTTTATATCCTCAAGGTTAGAAACTAACCCCCCCCTCGTAGAGGAGAATTTCTCCTTGGGTTAATATGAAATTTGATGTTGGTTGATAGTTGACTCCTAACCATCCATAGGAGTATTGTATTTCCTTATTCGTTATCCATTGATTAGGAGAAGACTGAATTAGTCCAATTCCGTACATTCGTTTTCGAACATTTAAATATCTGCAGAATTGTGAGGAAGTTGCGGTAGTAGACATATGGTCTGATACTACCGATAGTGATATTCTAAGAAAAGCTTTCGTGCATACAGTCCGTGTAATGTTGCTACATTTTCTAGCTGGTATTCTTATATGGGTGCGTGTGTACACATCCATTTTGTGATATGTAGCATTTTTGTTAATAATTTCTTCACAATTCCATTTTTCAGAAATATTAAAGGGTACTCCAGAAATCCAATTACAGCTGTTGTTAGCTAATACCTGCCTTGGTTTCAGTATCACACGGATAATATCTCTTTCATATTCCATTTAAGACCGAGAAAATTTTCCTGGTTTGTTTGGCTTGAAAGTCGCATTCAGGTATTCTTTCATCAAATTCTTCGTCGTTTGAAAGAAATTCTCTTATGTTCATTGATGCTTCACCAAAAATTTCTTTCGTTCTTTCATATTTATATAAAGCCTCTTCTGTTCCATTAGCTGATATAATAACGTTGTCCACGTATAAGTTCTTTCTTATCTCCCATGCCAATTCACTACTATGATTTTCTAGGTGGTAATTTAATGTTGCTGATAATAAGAAAGGTGAGGATATTACTCCAAAAGGAACTCTCTTAAATCGGTAACATTTTATATTTTCATTGGTTAGTTCTTTATCAATATCATCTAACCAAAGAAAACATGTACAATTTCTTTCCTCATTTTGTAGTTCTAGTTGTGAAAATACCTTTTCGATATCAGCGGTTATTACTATTCTCATCATCCGAAAACGTAATATTATTCCAACTAAATCCGGTAACATTACTGGACCTCGATATAGTACTTCATTTAAGCTTTTAAAACCTTTGTGATGTGCTGAGGCATCATATACTATTCTTAATTTAGTTGTTGATTTACTAGGAGTTAATACTTCATGATGTGGTAAGTAATGAATAATGCTTACCTCATCCTTTGGAGGTACTTCTTCAATTATACCCGGATGTAGTTGATCCATAAGTATTTGATGATATGAATGGAGATTTGAATTATGTTGTAGGCGGTTGATCAAATTCTTCAATCGTCCCAAGCATAATCCATAATTATTGCTTAATTTTTGTTTGGAGTCTTTCCATGGCCAACAAACCTGGTATCTTCCACCCTGCTTGATGATGGTCCGTTTGAAATGCTTTAAA